AGAAATTCAAGTAAAGGATTGCTCCCAAAATCCTCGAACTGTGAGCGATTTCAAGTTGTAGCGCAGCAGACATGGAAACCAACAAGAGGAGTACAAATGCCGGGAAGAGAAATGACAATTTTTTGAGTGATAGACGTTGGGAGTTGCAAGATAAAGCTTAGCGGAAATTAAATTCTGAAACGCATACGATAATGATTAGCAACGAAAATTAGTGAGTCAGTGACATTAGGAGAAAGAAAAGAGGGAGAGAGAGAGCGAGAGCGAGACAAGAGAGAAGACACTCAAAGTGGGGGCGCCGGACGAGAACAGTCGGCAGGAGTGCGACTGATAAGCCCTCGGTCTTCCTCCACCGGATCTTCTTCGACTCTTGCCAAGGAAAAGACAGGTGCTGATGGACATTGCACGAGAACTAAAATTGATACATTCACCGCTAGGCACTCAACTAGCAGTCATCTGCATCTTCCACATTGAGTTGCCAGATCCGCTGCCTAGACGAGTTGTGCTGGGGTGTCCCCTAACTGACGATCCGGATACAGTAGACCAGACAGGCTATGAACCCCTTCTAGAATTTGGATATGGGAATCCATGGTTAGACGCGGCTGATGATCCCTATTATTGACTAGCCGAGGGAAGTCGCATGTCCATTCAGTGAGTTAATATCCTTTTTAGTCCTTACTACTATATACTACCCAGTGGTGTTGGGGGGAGAATAATGCCTCAGTGACTGACCTCTCTCGCAGCACGGACTGGCATGGCGTTACGGTGTAGCAGGAGAATTCTGATTCAAATTGCGCTACGGCATACGAGGCCCGCCCAATCGCACTTAGTTCATACCTAAAGCTGGCTATTCGTCACCTACTGGGTGTGATCTGCATAAGACACAGTGTGATTGCGGAATCATGGGCATGCATCGCAAGTTTACCAGTGTCTCTCTGCATGGATACCTATCGTGACTATGGCAGTCACTAACGGACCCTGTTTCGCCAGGCTGATCTACCTACCCCAGGATCCCTAATTTGCTCCAGATGGGGAGAAAACTGGAGATTAAGTCCTGGACGTCACCACCGCATGAATAAGCATCTCCACTGGGGTGGATTTCTGGCGAAAACGGCAGATGCACAATCGCAAACGAAGCCCAGTCCCCACCACCATGTCGGAAGACGATAATTCTGAACACGGCCAGCTCCACACCAACTAGGAGAAGCATTTGCGTCTTCCTTACCCTGAGAGAGCCAGTCCACTAGAAAATGTCAAGCACAGGGCGGGGGAGGCCTTCGAGGCTAAAATGGGGTTGATGCTTGCCCATGACCCAGTCACAGTTCAGGGCTCGGTTCCGAGTGCCGCCCGTGCCGGTTTGCCGATGAAACTCTGGCAACAACCAGGACGATCCTGTGCGAAACTCTGTTCTTGCAATCCAGAACGTCTGCGCCCCTTCTTTTTAGGTATCCATGCTGATTCCGGCGGCCACCACCCAGCGGCCCGTGTTCCGAGCGGACCAGCAGGTCCTAATATGATAGGTAACCATGCCGTCATCTATATTCATCTCGAGAGAGAAAATGATTTGTCTCTTCAGTGCTGGCAATTGTGCAGTTCCTGCGCGAGCCTGAAGAGGTGACTCGACACGTGCCAAGACCAGCCCCATACCATTCTTCTGAGGAATGTGAGGATCCGTCAGAGCATGCTACCGAGAAATCAAGGATGGTGCCCTGTATACTATCATGTACTGGTAGGGATAAGGACCTATATGTAGGGATCCAACGCAATATTTGAGACAGTGGCCCCAGATGGGAAACGGAGAGTCGTTGCACGGGCCATGCAAACGACGGTACGTATGTTATGGTGGCCATAGCTCAATCTCTTCAAAGGCACGAGGGCGATCAAATGGAGGGAGGAGCTTGTATGCCAATGCCGTCAGATGCTGGAGTAGCGAGGAAGAGCTACTTACTAAGAACAAGCATGCTGGGGGGCTTACTGTGTAGACGTACGCTTTCATCCTTGATCCCTAGGTAACCGACTGGGTTCATCAGTAGGCACTTGCGTGAGAATCCACAGTGTATGTTTGCTAGGTGATAGTCCGTTGCAGGCGATAAGAGTTACAACACAGTTCTTATCGGTATACCTTTGTATACGCCTCCAATTCATCTCTAACTTGGTCATATCGTAGAGGGAGAGACAAGCTCGGAATTGCGGAGATAAGCCCGACCCAGCCCTCGGAAAGAATACCGAAATGGCTGTTGAATCTTCTGCCAGAAAAATAATCACAATCACGAAGTAGTAAACCCTGCCATAGCTTTCTATATGACAAGTCAAGCGTAGTCCTGAATATAAGCAAGATTCTATAGCCCCAATTGTGATAGAAAAGGTGCACAGCATCGGATCTACTATGAATTGGGTGCTTCCGGTATACCTGCAGTATGCATCGTCCGATTAAAGAGCGTGTACGGGAGTACTCTTGGCTATGTTAGAGTACATGGCAGTTGAGATTGTTGTTCGTCTCTCGAGGCCCATATAACTTCCAACTTACCTTCTGAATCACAATAATTGAGCCTTTCGGCTGTCAATAAACCCGGTAATGTCTCAGCCCCTGACCGCGCCATCAAAATTTCCGAAGGTGTCACAAATAGACCGAATCGGACCATTTAGCTTGCTTTTGCCCCGGCGCCGGCACGTGGAGGCCATCTCCTGCTAATGCAACTCGGAATCGAAGGATGCATCAAATTTATCGAACCGTTTTATGCTTTAGTGGCTGGTTGACAGAGGAATTCTCTTCTTGATAGGTTCTTTACCCCTTAACGAACTTACACCTGGCCAGTGACCGAATGACATGTGGGCCTGACTTGTCTAACCGAACGGTTCAATCCGAACTAAATAATCTCCGTTCGCTTGGATTCCTGGGACCCCATGGATGGTGGCTTTAAGGCTTAGCCACGCGAGATTGTAAGTTTAGTGATGAGATTTATGGTTGAGCAATACTCTTGTACCTGAATTAGACTGAGTTCAAATCATTCCCTCTGCTGCAACAGCATTAATTTCTGCTGCGTGTTTGCAAAGGGATAGTTCTGCAGAGTAAAATTGCTAACTTCGCTGCAGCAAACAAGTTTCTGACTGCCCTTTATCTTGCTGTCTGCATCGCATACCCCCTTTCACTACACGTTTCAGCCTAGAGCTGCCATTTCGACATGTTCTCAGAGATCGCCGTTGCCTCCGGACTAGCTGTCCTTTATCTCTACCACGTCAATCGTGGTATGACAGGGACTCCGGAGGAAGTAAGCCGGCTGTCTCCTCATCGTTGGACTGTCGATGAAATCAAAGCAGCATACGAGGATTCTATTCGAAACCCAGTCGATGTGCAAAAGAGTCTTCCCCCGAAGCAAAACCGCCGCTATATCGTGGTTGGTGGGGCAGGTGCGTTCTAGCTATGAATAGGGCATTCACATGATGTGGCTCAATGAGACTGCCTTATTCGATTCACCATATCAACAGTTCCAAAGCTAACACTTCCAGGATTCGTGGGAAGCTGGATGGTAAACCATCTGCTCGCTCGCGGGGAAGACCCTTCGGCTATTCGCATTTTGGACCTTGCAGCGCCTCGTCGCGAGATTCTCGACCAGGGTGTCGCTTTCTTCAAGACAAATATTGCCGACGAGAAGGCCGTGGCCACTGCTTTCGCACAACGTTGGCCGGAAGCTGTCGCTAACCGACCCCTGACCGTCTTCCACAATGCCGCCGTGATCAGGCCTGGAGAGCGTCTCAAGACTTTTCTGTCCCGTTGCACCGACGTCAACGTGGGCGGCACAGTAAACGTGCTGGCTGCGGCGAAGAAAGCCGGCGCAAGCTGCCTCATCTCGACATCCTCAGGATCTGTCAGTCTCCGTAGTCAATCCTTCTGGATCGCACCCTGGAACAAGTCCCCCAAGGGTCACGTCCAGGTAGTCGATGACTCGACCCCAGTCCCGGAAGAACACTACGACTTCTTCAGTAACTATGCCGCCTCCAAGTCTAAGGCCGAGAAGATCGTCCGCGCCGCCGACGATCTTGAAGGAAACTTCCGCACAGGCTGCATCCGGCCGGCGAATGGCATCTACGGGATCGGCGACACGGAAGGTTCTCTCACCACATCATATCTGAGATCTGGCGGTTCCCCTGCGTAAGACAGCCCTATTAGCCCTCAATAACATTTGCAGAAGATCAAGGACTAACATCTCTACCAGCTGGCTCATCGACACTATGCAAAACTTCGTCAACGCCGAAAACGTCTCCATCGCCCACCTACTCTACGAACAGCGTCTTATCGAGCACACCAACAGCCCAACCACACTCCCCAATATCGGTGGCCAATCCTTCCTAGTCACAGATCCCAACCCAGCCCCCACCTACGGCGACGTCTATCTCCTCCTGCACACCCTCTCCAAAACACCCGCTAACTTCCCTCGCGTACCTCCCGTCCCTTTCCTCATCCTGTCCTACCTCATCGAATGGTACTCCTTCCTGCAGGTCGTTTACTTCCCCTGGCTCCCTAGAATCACCGGAGATATCGCCAAGATGCAGCCTGCTCTTTTCTCCATCACCAATGTACATTACATTGCGGATGATTCGCGTGCGCGCAAGTCGCCAGAACAGGGCGGGCTGGGGTATGCGCCTCCGATCACGACGATGTATGGTATGTGCAAGCACCTGGAGGTTTGGAACCGCGAGGCGGACCAGAAGAAGGTTGCAGAGGTTGCAGAGGTTGCGGCAAAGGGCGTGGTCAATGTGAGTGAGGAGGGAGTGAATGTGAATTTGGTGGTTCCTCCGGAGAAGTTGTAGTTCATTCCAGATTAATCATGAATGTCTGTTTGTATTTTAACAAAACGTATTACTATCGAGAAAATATTATCATTTTATCGTCTTACTGCTAAGCAATTCATAACGAATCATGTAAATTTCATCCTACTCAATCATACAAACTAACAAAGTACAACTAAACAACAGCCCACCTACCTCAAAAAGGTATACTCAACTCACAACCTCGACAAGAACGTCACCTCCCCAGGCGCATGATACTCCGGAACCTTCATATCCAACGCCTTACCCGAGTAACCCAGATCCTCAGCCGTCAAAACAGCGCATTTCTCTCCGATAAGCAGGGCGGTCTACACACCCACCACACCATTAGCATAGCCCACTTAATCCACTGCAGAAAAAGAATTGGAAAAAAAACTACAAAAACAGAGGGAAAGGAAAGGGGGAAGGGAAGGGAAGGGGAACTGACACTATAAGTATTACACCCCACATTATCCGGACAAATGGATAAATCAGCCACCTTGAGCCCCTGCACACCATGCACATTGAGTCGTTCATCGACGACTCCGCCGTGCGGCGTGAGGTTGTTGCCTTCGCGGGGCGCCATGCTGCAGGTTCCGAGGGAGTGCCAGGTTGTTTCGACGTGGCGTTGGACTAATTATCCATTCAGTCATTAGTCAATTGTTAGGTAGTCCGGTTGTTTGTTTTGAGGGTGATTGGAAGGAGGTTTTAAGCTGGGATGGGAGGAAGGAAGGATAAGGATAGTACGCACCCCACTTCTCAATATGTTCGATATCCTTCTTACTGTACTTAATCTCCTCCCTTGTATCCTGCCTGTTGGAGTTCAGCCTTGTAGGCGATGCGGGCGAAGTACCCGGTTCGAGGGGTTGGGACCAGGAACCTTTATCAGACACACACACATAACCTCAGTAAGTATTCTTTTTCAAGTGAACTAGTCCAACTGGCTATAAATTCAGGAAAGAAGGGAGGTGTGACGTACCATGCTGAATTCCAGCAGAAATATGATTCGGCCCTGCATACGCCTTCGTCGTCTCCAGGTCCAGATCGAATGCTCGCGCGGGCGAGTCATACGAAAAGTGAGGGTGCATGCCTGTCACTTCACCTGCGTAGGCACCCATGCGTCGCGCCGTCTCGCGCGACTTGATGTATCCCCAGACCATGGGGGCCATGTCGCGCTTGTCGTTCATGAAGCCGGCGTCAAAGTCGGGGCTTTCGTAGGGGTCGGCTGATTGGATGTGCGTGGAGCCCCGGGAGAAGGGGTATTCCTGTTGATTGATTGATTGATTAATGGGTGAGTTTAGGATTGGTGGGGATATTGGGGGGGGGGGGTTGGGATGCTCACGAGGAAGTGGAACATGGTGAAGAATTTGCCTGGGGGCATGAGCATGTGGTCGCCGAACCAGCTATCAAATGTTAGTATCTAAAGTATGTTATTTGGAGAGGGTGTAGTGCCTACCCAGCAATGACAGAGTAATGCATCACCGGTTTATCCGGCTTATTCTTGAAGTAACTCTCCCAGCCCTTGTAAAAGTCATTCGTGGGCCAACTCTTCATCTCCTCCAGTTCCTTTGCATCCGGCCGGATCTTCACGCCAGCTTCGATGCCGTTCGTCGCTAGAGGTCCTGTACCCTTGATGTTCCATTCCTCGAAGACCTTCTTCTGCACTTCGGGGTCTCCGCGGACAAAGTCATCGAAGGACTCGACTTCAGGCTTCGCCCGGAAGACGGAGAACGTCAGGTAGTGGTCTTGGAAGTTCCGTCCCACACCGGGGAGGTTCACGAGAGGCTGCACGCCAGCACGACGGAGCTTCTCGGGGTCACCGACACCGGACCTCTGGAGGATGAGAGGGGAGCTGAGGGTGCCGCCGCTGACGATGATCTGTTTGCGGGCTCTGAAGATGGTCCGCGGGGGATCGCGGCCTGCGAGGGGCTTGGTGGGCACGGTGGCGACGCCGACGGCGCGGCCGTTCTCGATGATCACTTTGTCTACTTTGGTGTTGCACTTGAGGTGCAGGTTGGAGTACTTTGCCCGGGTGCTGTGGACGTAGGCATGGGCGGAGTCGCTGCGGCGGCCTGGATGTGTGACCTATTAGTCTTTCTACTAGATATAAGATACGGTGATCATGAGGACATACCTGTGTCGCGGTTGATCCATTTCAGCCAGTGTTCGGCTCCGTGGCTGCACATGTTAGTAGCAGGTCGCTAAGTACATGTATACATATGGAAATATGAGGGACTTACCCTGTCTTCAGGTCCTGAAGATCATCCGTGACAGGAATGTCCTGCGACTCGGCAGCACGCAGGAAGTCTTGCATGATGGGATACGTGTAGTTCCCGAACGAGACCTTGATGGGTCCATCGAAGCCATGAATGTCCCGGTTGTTGCAGGCCCGCTGGTATGTCTCGTGCTTCTTCATCAAGGGAAGTAGCTCGTCCGTCGTCCAGCCCTTGGCTTGGAAGTCGTCGTAGTCGGAGGCAGAGGCTCGAGTGTACATCTATTTCACAGTTAGGATGTGTCTTACTGTTGCTAGATGTGGGCTGAGCAAGCATAGCTTACCATGAAGTTGATAGAGCTGCCTCCTCCGAGAACATGGGCACATGGCACAACAGCCCGACGGCCATCAAGCCATTCCGAAGGCCGGGAGTAGTAGAAGGAAGCTGTCTTCGAGTCAAGCTTCATGTTCCGGGGGTAGATACCGGGGCGATAGACCCTAGGGCATGGTTAGGGGTGGCCCCGGGGAATGAAGGTGACAATGTCCAACCTACCATGGGTTGTTCAGGTTGTCTTCACCAGCTTCAATCAGCAGGACCTGGAGATTATGGTCCAGATTGGCAAGTCGACCGGCGATTACGCAGCCGGTGCTGCCACCACCGCAGACAATGATGTCCACTTCCTCTGGGATGGTCATGGTGGGTATGATTGACTACGTATGGATAGTAGAAATTGTGAGTGAGAAGGTGTGTGATTTACAGAAAAAGATAGAAAACGATCGGGAATTGGCATTCAGAGGTCGGTTTATATGCTGGCAACCCTGCAAACCCCATGATGCAGCAACTCCTCATCATTGTAGGCAATTCTATGGACCAAGAGATACATCCCCGCACCACTATGTAGAACCCCTCTTGCATACGAGTCCTGACAAGGATGTGAACCAGCATTCGCACCGTCCAAGTAATACAAGGAACAAAGAGAACTGCGAGAGTCTATGGTACACGGTATACTATCTTCATTCAGTGGTATAGAGGTACAAAAGTACAGAATGCTTCCGCAGATTCCCCGCACGGCGAGAGGGGGTCGTGCATAGTGCATGCAGTGAGTTGTCAGAGATATTTCGATATAAAAGGTGGATTAATCTATGTACAGGATGGACGTACGGGAGCCTATTCTAATGGTGTATCTTGGCTCCTGCCGGTAATGGACGACTGGATTGAGTTTGCGACGGCAAAGAGCAGATCTTGACAGTGAGAACGCCAAGCAGAATGCCAATCAAGCAGGAGATGGTCTCGCCAGTCAGCGACCTGTTCAGACATGAAGCTCAGCGACAGCCCAAGCGTACCTTGTACAGGTCAGCTGGGAGCTTGCAGACCATCCTCCAATGGTTGCTGTCGCGGCGGACTGGGATAGAGAGACGAATCCGGCGCCAGGCCAAACGCAACACCAATCAATGAGGCGGATTGACCGGATAGCCACGGACGGGAAAATTTGTTCCTTCTCACCCTCGCTCCCAGGCATTAATTGCTTGTATTAAGCGGAGTCGCTTTTGTTGGCAACAGAGCTGAGGCAGTGGTGACGGCGTGCCAATGGCCTCGATCTTGCCGTGATGCGGGGAATGGCAAATGCTGGGTTTCCCCGCCTGCGGCCATCGCCACCAAGTCTTGTCCTAACGCCAATGATCATCCCAGTTAATTCTAACCATGGTCTTATATGGGCCGAATACAGCGTCGTCTTTGTCGTGTTCAACTTTGGGTCAGGCCCAATGACAACCGCAGAAGCTGCATTTTACGCCCCAGGCAGCTGGGTAACTCGCCCATTACCCAAGCGGCTTCTCTACCAAGCAATGCCCTCCTTTCACCCGGCCAACAGTGTGACTGCCTACACCCTGGTCGAGTGAGTCTCCGTCCTGAGAAATGTAGGTCGACGGAAAACCCCCATTACTGCTGCGCATGCTGCTGCGCCAGTTGACGTCTTTGCTCCAAGATCTGCAAGCGCAGGCCCTCTGCAGCCAATTCCGTGTCGAGAATTGCACCAACACCACGCTTCCATGTCTCCTCCAGCCCCACAATCTCTCCCTTGTTGGCTTCTTGGGCGAGCTTTCTCTCCTTGTTCACTGCCTCGGCGGCCTCCTTCATCTCAGCCAATTCCTTCTCAAGCCCCCGGAGGATGTCTTCCAGCTGCGAATTGCCAATCAGCCACGCGTTCTTTCCATTCTCTTCTAGCAGTGCCAGATTCTCGTGCCGCATTGACAAATGGGAGCTGGCCGTGTAAGCCTTCTGCAGTGTCCGTTGCCATTCCTCGAGGTCGGGGGTTCCGTCAGCGGCTTTAGCAGGAGCCTCAGGCGCTTCATAGCGGGAGAGGTCGATTCCGCCGGTCAAGGGCAATCCAGCAGCCTTGCGGTCCACCTCCTGCTGGATGAGAGGTGAAAACCGCGACTCAGGAAATGCAGGAATGGACGGGTGGATAGTGGTTTTGGCATCTAGCGAAAGTTCCGCGGCAATTAGCTTCTCTGCAGCTGCTCGTGCCTGGGTGGAAGGGGCCGGTTCGATGTCTGATGAAGGTCCACGCGTTAGATGGGAACTCTTAGCAGAGGTAAGGCAGCTTACAAGGAAGTGAATCATGGGATTCGTTGATGAGAGGCATGTTGACTTGAGCCTGCGTATTAGAACTAGATAACGAGAAGCTAAAAGAGGCAGGGTCCAATGCGTAGTGATATCTTGTATAAGATCAAACAGTGCCAGCAGCAGCAGCTCGTCCTGAGCGTCTCAGCTTTTGCGCCGAGCACAGGAGGGCGGTGAGTATCACTGTATGACTCAGCATTTTCTGCCGGAGATGATCCGGGGTGTTTGGGCTAAACCGTTTCGGGCAACCCAAGTATAGATGAATCTCGTCCAACTGCGACAAGGACGTCTCCTTTCCCCTTTCATTCTCCACACGATCATCACTTTTCCGGATCTTCAGGCAAGACGGGACTCTTCTCCACTTCTCTGGAGGCTTAGCCTAGGCTTCACCATCAGACGAGGTTCATGCGATCTACAGGGTCCCTTGTGACAGGGCAGGGCTGGTCCCTGACTGGCCAGTTCCCCGCCTATGACCTTGACAGAGTTGCAATGACTGATGACTCAACCAGCCAACCGCATGTCATCCAGCTTCAGAGCCGAATCTAAACTTATATTCTTGCAGTTAGTCGACGCGGGGCTGGATAGAACATTCCTGATCAAGCTTAGCCACGGATGACGACGGGAACGGACCAGACCCTTTCTCCTACATTCCAATAGCCTTTTCACCAATCGCGCCTCTTCCGCATCCTCCCCGCAAGGTTGCAGAGGCCCTGCAGTGTCATCCCCGGAGCCGTCGTTGCAAATTAGCCGGGCATGCCTTGTGATAGCTCCTGCCTCGGTCGGTCCCTGCTTGCAATAAGAATTGCGCATTCCCGCGGACAGGCTGAAGGCTCTCTGGCACTGCAACGCTCCTAGAGCTCATGCCTTATCTCGGTGGAATGGCGAACTTCAGGCTGGGTGTGGCTTTGGCCAGCAGCGTGGCAACGGCACTTGTGTTGCTGCAACTGTTCTCACTGTCCCAGCACCAGAGCCAGCCACTCATTGTCGGTACACAGTCTAAGTGGGCGCACAGAGCTGCTGCAACCGAGGCGAACAACGATGATATTTTCCTGCTAGGCGCAGGAAAGGCGGATATAACGGGGTAAACTACCTTTATCCTACCAGTGCTGCATGGATGCTGAAACATTGTCTGCTAGGCCTGTTGTTGAGTTAGGGATGAATGGCTATGCTAGCTTGGACCAGATTGGGACTGGTCTTCGGCAGAGAATCTACTCTCGGGCTTTCATTGTGGCCAATAATAAAAACCCAGATGACACTTTCATCTACCTTATCCTGGATGCTCTGACCGGGGACACTGCCGTGCGCCATGGTGTACTTGATGGCCTCGCTAGCCTGGGCAGCGACTATGCTCGATACACCGAGCAGAACGTCGCCCTTACTGGGACACATTCTCATTCAGGCCCCGGTGCCTGGATGAATTACCTTCTTCCTCAAATCCCCACCAAAGGATTTGATAAACAGAGCTATCAGGCGATTGTTGATGGTGTCCTCCTCTCGATCAAGCGGGCCCATGAAGGTCTAGCACCCGGACGTCTCAGCTTTGGGTCTATTGACCTAGAAGATGCCAATATCAATAGAAGCCCCTACGCTTATGACGCCAACCCTGCAGAAGAGAAAGCTCGGTACTCGGCAAATGTGGACAAGACGCTGACTTTGTTGAGGTTTGATCGGGAGTCCGACAACAAGACCACTGCCATACTGACCTTCTTTCCCGTACATGGTACATCTTTGTACAATAATAATACCCTGATCACCGGAGACAACAAGGGTGTGGCCGCGTGGCTTTTTGAGCGCAGTGTCAAAGGCGACCAAAAATTCTCCGATGACTTTGTCGCAGGCTTTTCTCAGTCAAATGTCGGCGATACAAGCCCGAATGTGTTAGGAGCTTGGTGTGAGGATGGCTCTGAACAACAATGCCGATACGAAGATAGCACATGTGGCGGGAAGACGGAGGATTGCCACGGTCGTGGACCTTATTTCCGTGAGAAGGATAACGGCGCAAAGAGCTGCTTCGAGATTGGACGGCGACAATACGCGGCTGCGAAAGAACTTTACGCCAATTTGGATTCAAATCCTGTTCGAATTCTTTCAGGCGCCGATGTCCGCTCATTCCACACTTACCAGGACCTGTCCAACTACACTTTTACGTCGCCGTTTAATGGTAGTACTCTAAAGACGTGTCCTGCCGCATTGGGATTTTCGTTTGCAGCCGGCACCACGGACGGGCCAGGATTTTTCGACTTTACCCAGAATGGCACGGGACCGGCCGATTCCAACCCTCTATGGTATGTTGCTCGTGCTTTCTTGCACCAGCCGTCAAAAGAGCAGCAGGCGTGTCAAGCGCCGAAGCAGGTTCTTCTCGATGTGGGACCAATCACACAGCCGTACGCCTGGACACCTAATATTGTGGATATTCAGGTCCTGAGAGTGGGTCAACTATTCATTGTCATCTCGACAAGCGAAGCCACCACCATGTCTGGGAGACGCTGGAAAGAAGCGATTGGCAGCTCTGCAAAAGAGGTTCTTGGAGTGGCAGATCCTCTGGTAGTCCTAGGTGCGCCGTCCAATAGCTATGCTCATTACGTCGCCACGGAGGAGGAATACGGAGTGCAGCGCTATGAAGGGGCCTCGACTCTGTACGGCCCTAATACACTTGCAGCATACATCAACCTAACCCTTACGTATCTGCCGTACCTGGGCAAGTCAGCGCAGACAGGCAGTCTACCGTCGCTATCCTCCGGGAAGACACCGCCCGTCAATACCAACAACTCACTAAGCTTTATTCCCTCAGTTATATATGACGGATCGCCAATCAGCAAAGCATTCGGTGATGTTGTATCCTCGTCGGCAAATGTCACTTACGGGCCTGGTGACATGGTAAATGTCACATTCGTGGGGGCAAACCCTCGCAATAACCTACGACAAGAGTCGACCTTTGCGGCTGTGAAGAGGTACAACTCAGCTACCGGGTCATGGGATGTTGTGCGAACTGACAGCGACTGGAACCTTTTGTATAACTGGGAGAGAACGAGTACGATATTGGGGTATAGCGAGGTCACTCTCCAATGGCAGATCGAGGACGAGTATTATGACACGGGGAATCCCAATCCCATTCAGAGTGGAACATATCGTCTCCACTATTACGGCGACTCAAGAAGTGTGCAAGGTAAGATATCCTCCTTTGAGGGGATTAGCGAAGCGTTTACGGTTGCAGTCAGCTGAGCTGGCCTCTGCTATGTTGAAGGAGGCTGGTTCAAGCGGCAAGGAGTGAGGCTTTATGAGACAGGATCAGGACGTATATGAAATTAGGGATGATTTAACAGTAGCATTGGGCTATAGCCAAGTCAATTTTATTGATTTTCTCGCAATTGGATGTTTCATTCTCTTGCTGCTTGGTGGTCGGCTGCATCTCAGCCAATCTAGCCATGCCCGGCTGGCTCAAGGATGGTGGCTTAGCTTGTGAGGCGTATGCTCCGACATGGCGAGATCCATTCATCAGAGCTCAGTAGATAGATTGCTATGATCCACTGTTCTGCAAGACTTGACACAGTTGCCAATGAATGGGAAATGTTGGCCGACCGGGGCGGGTGCTGCAACATCCCAGCCGGCACTTCTTTGTCGCGCGCCAATTCGACTCTCGCCAGCCAACCGATCCCAACTTCGAGTCCCACAACAGCAGACTGGACTGTCGGAGCGTTTCATGTCAAGCTGCACTTGATGACGGTCCAGGCCGTGGCATCAGCTAAATAAAGAGACGACGGTTGGGCGCTTTCATCGCTTGGCTTTCTTAAACACGGTCTTTCTCTTGTCTAACCCTCGTTCGCTCTGCATCATCCATATTCTTGATTGTCCTTCTTTACTATTTCCTCACTTTCACTCTTTCGTTGTTTCTAGATATTAATGCGAGTCAAAGATAAATTTCTGTCGCTTCTGAACTTGCTAATCAGTGTTAGTGCAACGTGGTCAGCTATTTATCTTTGCATTCTCTCTTTGACGACTCGTTTATTGTCCTCTTTATATCTCCTTGACATACACACATAATATTGATACTATTTCGACTGCATAATTCCACCAGCAGATGAGATAATGTCGCTCATACCAGTTATCCTCGTGACCTTCTTCTTGGTCTCCTGCTGTACGGCTGGTCCGATTGCTCCTTTTGCTTCCAAGAGAGACCTGGAGTCGCTTTCCCCATATCCTTCGCTCACTACACCTTATGTGCACGTTGCCAGTCCTTCGGTCGATGACGATGACGACGATGAGATCAACGCTTTGACTGTAGTTCCGGTCACACCCTCCAGTCTGCCTCAAACTGCATCCAGCTCTAGCACCACTGTTGAGCCAGCGCCATCCAGCTCAGCTGCGTTCGTTCAGGTATCTCCGACTACTTCTACTCATGTCGACTCCACTACCTCTCTGTTCGAGTCTTCCTCTGCAGCTACGCACTCTTTATCTACAAGTGTCTCATCAGACAGCAGCGTGACTACCTTGTCGCTGACTTCAACGACTACAACTACGACCACAACTACACCTTCATCTTCAGTACCCTACTCGCCTCCCTCGAGTGCAGTTCCAAGCTCTCCTACGACAAGTTCTTCGTCGCAGGTGATGCATACCACAACACCATCTAGCACGCTTTCTGAGAGCTCCCATGTTGTAACACCCTCAATTATCATGCCAGGAGGTCCAATGGAAGGCTCGTCGTCTCATGCCGTGACCGCAGCTTCTTCTCACATCACGCACGAGACGTCATCCTCTGCTGCCAGAGTATCACACTCATCCAGCACAGCAGCTCAAGCATCTCCGTCACACCAGGGAACAATCACATCATCTAGTAAACTACTACATTCCTCCACTATTGCACCCGCATCATCATCAAGCTCTGCTCCAGAGAGCACTACATCATCCCACACCTCCGAGACATCAGCATCCACCAGCTTCACCATCGGAGTTATCACGGCTCTACCAGAAGCCAGTACCAGCTCTTCCTCAATGCCTGAAATGTCACCCTCCTCCTCCACCACACACTCCAGCGAGAGCACAACAACTACAACCGAGGACACCTCATCACCCACTCCCACTGAAAGCCAAACAACCACACCAACACCCCACACAGCCAAGCCCTTCATCGGGGTGACCATACCCACGACAAGCACAACCACAACCAAGACCACCCAGCCAGCAGACCCAGTGGACACAATAACCATCCCAACACCAGAGACAGAAGACACCACCACCACCACAACATCCACAACCTCAGCCCCAACCCCAGTCGTCGTACTAGTCACACCCGAAGGATCAACAACAGTCATCGGAACATCCTCCTTCATACCCTCTAAGCCAGATACCACATCCACATCCACATCCACATCAACATCGTCCCTCACAACAATCAACCCAACCACAACCACCTTCCACTCCACCTCAACAACCATGCAAACCATCTACGTAGTAATCACAGATACACCCACCCCGGAACAACAAACCTATGATTCAACCACCATTGCGACTGCCATCGTTACTGTCGTTGATAAACCAACCCCAACCTCGGAAACTGTCCCTACCACACTTACATCATTAACAACATCTGAAGAAGAGAAAATGTCGACGACGACGACGACGACGACGACTCCGTTGGATGCAGAGCAAACATCAACGCATTCTAGAGTAGAGGATGTGTCCACGTCCACGTCTACACCTACGATAACATCATCTTCTTCTCTGTCTAGTGAGTCAGGTGATGTTCTTAGGATTGTTCCTGTGACGCCTACGGGTCCTGTTACGGTGACTGTTACAGTGACGGAGTGGGAGAGGGAGAGGGAGACTGTGACTGTGACGGAGAAGGAGAAGGAGATGGTGACGAAGACGGAGACTGTTACGGAGAGGGTTACGGAGACGGAGAGTGTGACTACTTGATTCGGTTGTTATGTGTGTGTAGTATTACCTAGTTAGGAGTGTTGATAGATAGTATACGTAATAATGAAGACATATAATTCCAGGTTTGAGTTGATTGGTAAGTTGGCTCATGTTGTCAATTTTGTAGTAGTATTCATCAGTTAGTTACTTTGATAGTTAACTAACTAGTTACACATTGGTATTTGTCATCCATCTCATGTGAGATACTTCCAATACATTAAATCATATCAAATAAATCATATCATCCATCCACCCATGAAATAACCCAGATACAGGTATCCCCACAAAAGATAACACAGTCAAACAGTCAATGAAATACTCTATAATAATACACACAAATATATAGACACCAAGGCCGTTCAATCATACCCCCGACCCGAATAGTACACACACTAAACTCCGTCGCCACCCCAGCTTTGCTAACAATCAGTATCCCGCCTACCAAACGAATAAAGCAATCGATATCCCATTCCGGAAACTCCAGCTATAAATGATGCGAAAATAAGTCAGCTTCAAAAACGCCCTTCGTGTCCATTACAGTTCGGATAACATGCCCCCTGCTTCGGCAAACTTGGCCTGGTATTCTTTCAGACTGGCCCATTGGCGCAGCTCTTCTTCGTCGCGGTTGTGATCGCTCAAATAGCTGATGGATTGTCGGTGTACCTCGGGACTGGAACCGCTTTTGCCTTGGCTAGATCCGGATTTGAACCCCTCTAGGCGTACAAGAGTGTCAATGAATGCGCGAAGGTAAGCTTCGGCTTCTGCGGATGTTAAAGGTTGGGGACCAGAAGTGGAGGGCGTGATCATGCTATGATGTGGGAAGTTAAGTAATGTGGAGGCGATTTGGCGGATTTTAGCGGTCTATGAAAGGGTCAGTTCTCCCGGTTCAAGTTGAAGGGAACACAGGGTGCATACGAAACTGCCGCCGTTGGGTTCCATACTACTCTCGTTGACCGATTGCAACAAGATAAATAGATCCCGGATCACCACCCGACGCTCTTCTGCCATCATCCTCCCAATATAATCTGATTGGGCTTCCGCATCGTATGTGTCTAGACTTTGCGGCGGCTCACCTTCAACCTTGATCGTAGTTCTGGGGCTGACGGGAATTTGCTGGTCGGACTGTTTTCGCTGCATTTTCCACGCCCCGTACAAGGTCCAATATTTCTCTACCAAGTATGATCGGGTGCCCAACTGGCTCGCGTAGATGTTCGCCTTTTGAATCTGAAGTTGCATATGGCGCTTACGAGCCCGCGGATCCTCCACAGGAGGTGTAGTCTCGTAATGGCCATGCCCGTTGCCCATTTCGGGATCTTGAGATAGCTGGATAGCCAATGCCCTTGGAACATTAGATAAGCCAGATTTAGCCTTTTGCAGACACTCCCACATAAGAGAGCGCTGCCGTTCCCAATCGAAGACCTGGCCGCTCCCAAACGCAGTCTCCCAGGCGGAGAGAGTATTATACGAACTTAATACTCGGACGTTGGCGTTGAAGCCCACCAGAAGAGAAATCCGGTCGGATGGTTGTGGTTCAACATGTGTGGAGAAGATATACTCATCATCCACTTCGAGGGGCAAGGGAGGATAGCGCGAAGTCGGAGTTTCAGGAGGCACATGGATAGTCACGTCACCGGAGCCAAGCTGCTGCAGCGTCCGGTAGCCGACGATGGTGGTGTAAAATAAGCGCCGTCCGAGCTCCTGCTCGATGATATCGACGGGAAGATCGGCGGTCGCGCCGCCAAAAGGATCTTGCGAATAACGCGACGAGGAAGAGGGGCTTGGCGGAATCATTGCCCGAAAGTGATTCGACTGCCGAGAAAGGTCATACACATGGATCATAGTAAGGCATTCCGCGAAATATGCGCGACATCGGCGCATGTGCCAGACATATCCTGCGCAAAGCCCAAGGAAATAGCTAGTTGCGGCATCATATACTGTCGCGCTTCGATCCAGATAGCCGTAGCCTCTAGCTTGGACTGCAACATCATGGCATCGCCTGACCAATGCCATCGAGTGTGGAAATGCTGCCTTCTCTGCCTCCGTCTTCAGATGCCGCTTGGGCCTCCGCGGAAAGGACGCCACCAGTGTCCCGACCATGGCGGCCGTGAGGGCCAAAAAGGTAGGGTTAGAAAGGTCATCTCGCCGCTCCAATGCGGCGCGGAACGTGGGCTCATGGGGGACAGGAACTAGGGGATGGATGTAGGTGAAGAAATCGTCTATTAATAGCCCCAGGGTCGGCATAGAACAAATGGACTCCGCCGATAAAGGTGCTGGGGTGGACGAGGGGATGGTGGTGCTCCCCACTGACCCGGGTCCTCCCGGGGTGGCATGGTCTGATGGACTTGGGGAGCCTGCAGGGGACTCTGCTAGTTTTTGCTTTTTGAATGCTTCTGCATGGCGGTTAGGGGGACCGCGACGTCGACTCGGTCGTTCATAAGTGCAAGGGATGTCCAAGCTTGCGCAAGACCGACAGGGTGGTCCGCTGGTGTCGCACTGAGCAGAGTTAGCCAACACTGCCCTTTCTTCATGAACAGTGACAGCTGCATGTAGTATACCTTCACTTTTCGGATACTACAGGCGTCACAAGCCTTACGCAGTCTGGTTCGTTGGTCCATGAGCATGTAAAGGACTCAGCGGATATTCCCATGCTCTGGTAAATCGCATTCAATAGCCTAGAACATAGGGTTGTTGTTGCGGACCAGGACCAGGACGTCCGCGCATACTACACCACAAGATGCTGGACAGAGCAGCACTGTCGCGTGCGGGTCGGAGAACGGATAGCGGGATGATAACGAGTAAAACCTGGAGAAGATGCAGCAGGAATGACTAGTAGTAGTTAAGGTATGCCGATAGTCCCGGGCACTAGTGAACAACAGCACCTCGGAGAGGAGGGGGGGCACCAGGGAGGTGAAGTAAAGTAGAGAGTGCTAGTTCAGTCCACGAAGACCGTACAATCGGACGAACGTTCTAGTTGTTGTGGGGGAAATTGGAAGGGTGATCGCCCGAACGAGGCTCGAAGATTATTAAGGGACGGCGGGTTAGTCTAGAAGGGTTAGATTGGAAGATGAAAAGACTAGATTTCGCAGGTTTTCGCAGAACCGTTCAACATTTGAGTTTTAAGATTATGAGCAGTGAGCCCAAAGAAGCGACCCCAGAGTGACCTAATGCAATATCGACCACCGGTCAGGTCAGGATATCCCCGCCCGGTGGAGGTCTGGACGCCGGACAAAAGTAGTGGAACGAAGTAGTCTGGTACCTTAAGTTTGGCCAAACTCCGCCGTCGATGGAGAAGAGGGGCTCCAATGACGGGTGGAATCGGAGCCCTGTACTTCACCGGTGATGAGCGTTTATGGAGCCTCGGAATGGTGTTTGCCTCGTTTTTTTTTCTTTTTATTTTGTAGTTTTCTTCTTCTTCTTCTTAGACTACCAATTGTCTTCTGTCGACTCTTTTTTCTTTCATCATTTCCTTTTTGTTTTGTGCCATGTCTAATGGGGTGCTTTGAGAAGCAGTGTCGATCATACAGAGAGACACAGAGAGAGAGAGGAGGAGGAACCGAGACTCCGAATCAGGCGGGGAGGAGATCACGTGGCTGCGCGTCATGCCGCTTACAAATGAGACTGTGTGTGATGCTGGAACTTGAGGCTCAAAGGCAGCCCGAGGCAACGAAACTAGAAAATGGAATGAGTCGCATTGAAGGAGGCTGAGTTAGTTAGTAGTCAAAGGAATAATAAGCAACAATTATGCCGGGCGCCAACGATGACGATGGAGGGAACCGACTGAGACTCCCATCGTCGCAAGTGCCGTGGCCCGTCAGGGACTTGGTGCCTGATTTGCTCACAAATTGGGAGTAGAAGCGGGTAACAAATCCGGCACTCTTATCTCTGTGGTAGAGAAGATTTAGTATAGTCTAGTCTCCGTAGTCAGTTACTACTAACTATAGGATCGGAGCACTGTCGGGCGCCGGCAAGGTTTGCTAAGTTGCTAACAGTGCTGCTGAAGTCTCGCCCCGTCAGGGGTTACTTCCCAATCGGTCCGTCTCCGCCGCACACTAATCTTAACTTCTCCCCCCCTTCGATACTAATTACATTTAATTATCCTCGACCAGCGAAAGGCTCCCTGTCTACCAAAGTACCTTAGAAAAAGCCCGCAGGTGGAGTCGGCAGTCTTTTTGCGTCCTGTCGCAGGGACCAACCATGCAATAATGGAACGATCGCACTACTACTACCGACCCTCTCTCATGATTCATGACGCTAAGAAGGGTTCGGTTAAACCCGGTCATCGGTGTGACCACATCGAAATCGGTATTCTGTACGTTGATATCCCAACAACTGTCTAGGTAAATAGAAAACATCCCTTGAAACCACAAGGGCAGTATAGAAGTGAAGAAGACGGGTGACGCTCAAAAGAAGTGGGAATAAAGGCTAAAGAAGCATCAAGAAAAGAAGAAGAAAAAGAAAAGAAAACCACAAACTAAATCATAGCATCATCATCGTTGTAATCGTCGCGGTAGAGACCTTCGGGATCTCGCCCGGGCCTCCTGCCCAAAAGATCGCGCTTGTTCTCAAGATCCACCGTCCACAGAGCAGATCCAACCGCGGTTGACATCAGGAAGAACATGGACAAAATGGGGATCAACTGAAGTATTAGGGCCACCGTCCCAAATCTGGGTTCCCTCGTGGTTGAGCGTCAGTATGAACCTCGGCTGATCTTCAAGGGGGTTTGTGTCAGGGGAAAGAAGGTTGAAACCCACGTGGTGTATTGCAATTGTCTGCGGCGAATCCTTTCTTTGCGCTGCTGTTTCGAAAGATCCAACAGCTGAAAGTATCGCCAATGGTGGAAGGGGCCCGCCCGGTAGCCGGTCAGCACGAGGAACATGGGTGTTCCAGCCACCGGAATAAAGTTCAGCGGTAGAAGCACAATAAATTCCAGGATTTGCCGTAGAGAAAACGGTGCATAAACGGCGCTCTTGGTGGGCTTGCCGAGCCGTTTGACGACATCATCGCCCTGGGGGTACAAAACCCTTGACATGGTGACGAGTTCGCCATGACCCTCACTCACGAGCACCGAATCGAAGATGTCCACGAGGGTCTCATCAACGAAGAAGGCTTCAAAGAGAGCAGCAACAATGGCCGCCCCCTCTCCTAGAACCAGGAACGCGCCATTGATCCAGGCCCCGACACCCTGGAAGATGGACAGGAAAGCCACCTGAGGCAAATATGCAAACAGGAAGAGCAGGACGTAGATGAAAGCGGACAGGAGAACGATCGGAATTAGACGAGTCTTGAAAAGAGGCCAAAGGTAGCGATGCGACGCAAAGTAATAAATGCCCTGTAGAAAGACCGAATAATCAGCCTTCACCGTCACAAAAGGGAACAGGCAGCAACGTGAGCAAACATACCCGCAGGGGATATAACCACGCTGCTTTAGTAGTATCGATATGTCTGTGTGGCATGATCAAATAAACAAAAGGAGATTATAACGCCAAAAGGAAACTGGTAGAAAAGGGGTCTGTATCAAAGCAGAGAAAGAGCGCAAGTGTGAGATGGAGAACGATGCGGACAAGGCACAAATACACCCGAGCACGGCCTCAACATCGTCATGAGCGCCAAGACCTTATCGATAAGCGGGCGGTGAAGAACAACTATAAAGTTGAAATTTTCGCCCGCTTCAACCTTCTCTTTTCTTTTCTTCCATACATAAACTGAACACCTTCTTATTCACTCTGAGCTCCTTGACCGTGGAACCTTGGAGGGGAAATAGAAGGTCAGAGCAACTCGCTGACTTACCCCGAATTCTCCTCCTCAAGCGTGGAGCGTTTGGAAATATTTACAGTGGTACATCACTTTCTTTAAGAAATCAGGCATGTTGCCGATGTCAACCCATGTAAAAGTCCTATAAATTTGCTAGCAGTAGGGATGCTATAGTGACAATTGTTGCTTGATCACATCTACAATCCCTCCTAGATGGTGAACGATTGCTGTCGGCTTGACATCAGGCAACGCCTTGTCGACCCAGCTTGCCTCAGCCCGGTCTACCCAAATGGCGTTCATACCCACATTGCGGGCGCCTGCAATGTCAAATGGATTGCCACTGACTAGCCAGATATCCTTCATCTCCGACTGGTTGCGGCCGACGCACTTTGCCAGATAATTGTAGACTGCCGGAGCGGGCTTGTACTGCTTCACTTCGTCGACGCTGACAACATCTCTAAAGAATGATTTGTGCTGCGATAGAACCGTCGAGCTCTCCACACAATTGGCTATCATGCCCCGGGTGCCATTTGAAAAGATGACTGAGGTGACTTGTGAAAAGGCTGAAAGCTGATTCAAAGCGTCCTCGACATCGGGGAAGGGAATTAGCCTATTGTAGGTCGCCATAAGATGCTCAATCTCCTTGTCTACCAACGAGGTACCCGTATCATCCAAGGCATGCAGAAGGGAATTCCTAGTGACTTCCAGGAAAGTAAGATAGCGCCCTGAAGCATGAGACGACATTAGCCAATGTAGAAGCAATCCTTCCGAGACTGCAACATACCCATGCTGTTCAGCCTGAAGGTGTATTCAAGCTGGTAGCGTCTCCATGTCTGTGCCACGGTGCGGGCCCGGGCATCGTCATTCAAGAAGCGCTTCAGCTCATGAATAACAGCCTCAAAGGAGAGCAGTGTGCCATAAATGTCGAACGCAAGAACAATTTCCCCCATAATGTAATTGGACGTTCCGGCGCAATCGATTGTCGGCAAGATGTGGTCGTAGAAGACAAAGAAAGAAACCCGGCTTCCCGTAAACTCAACTACCAATGTTAAAGCCGCCGAATGACGATGATGTCAAGGCCTCACTCATCGACCCAACCGCCTCACCACCACAAACAACAACCCAACAACCTTCCCAATGAACCCACAATGACAGCGCCAGACAGCGAAAACTACCAAGTCTTCCGCGACTGCGTATCGAGCGCAATCGTCGCGAAATTCTCTCCGACACCTCGAACCAAGAAAACGCGACGTCCGCGCACCACCCCGCGCCAAAAGACCAGCAGTCGAGCAGACCCAAAACCGGAAGCAGAACAATTCCAGCAAAATGAATTCACTAGAACAGATCCAGAAGACTTGGCCGACTTTATCGACGTGCGTAGCCTACACCTTAGCCTAAACCCAACAACAAAACCCAACTAACCTCACTGGGAGAGGTTGAGAGAGAGAGAGAGAGAGAGAGAGCGCGAGAGCGGGGAATTCCATCCCCTCCCCCTCCCCTCCCCTCCCTCTCTCCCCCTCTCGTCACCACCAAATAAAACAGTTCATAGCCACAGAAACCTTCCCATCACTCCAACCACCATCACTCCAAACCCTCACCTACGACCCCAACACCGATTTCACAAGCGACAAAGAATACAGCCCACAACACCTCGCCGAAAGGACTTCGCACACCCTACCCGCCTCCATTACAGATACCCTAACAGCGTACGCAGTCATTGAATCCGCGTCCGACATTCCCTATTTCCTCGCGCCGATACTAGGCGAGTACGTAGCGTCGGTGACGAAGCCACCGCCGGTGTGGGCGACTACGCGCACGGATGCGTGCGAGATCTGTGAGCGGGATTGGATTCCGCTGTCGTATCATCATTTGATTCCGAGGAGTGTGCATGCCAAGGTGGTCAAGAAGGGGTGGCATGAGGAGTGGAGGTTGAATAGTGTGGCGTGGTTGTGTCGTGCGTGTCATAGTTTTGTGCATCGCATGGCGAGTAATGAGGAGTTGGCGAGGGAGTGGTTTACTGTTGAGAGGATTTGTGAGAGGGAGGATGTGATGGATTGGGCGAGGTGGGTAGGGAGGGTGAGGTGGAAGGCTAGGTAGGTAGATGGATGGGTTTATTTTACGTCTTAGTTTTTGGATATGATACTATGGGATGGATAGGTTGGGTAAATGTGGGGGAATTGTTGTAGAATGGGTATAGAACTTTGATTTGTAGACTCCTTTCTATTCCGGGTGGTGATGATGCGCAGTACTTTTGGTATAGACTCATCCCCGGAATCGTATTGTACAGAATGGGTTGCTCAGCCACACGCTTTCGGGACATGCAGATGAGAAACATGGGTAACAGCCAAGGGGTATGTATGTAGAGGTGGACGATGGGTGTCCGCTAAAAATACAGATGCCAGAAGTTGAGAGTGGAAAAGGGGGTGTGAATGTGAAGCCGAAATGTCGATCAGAGGTATCTCTTCTCGAAGACTTCCTCGTAGCATTGGATGTGGTCGCCAACGGCAAAGTCGGTCCAGCCATCGAAGCCGATACCACATTCCGTGTCTTTGCGCATCTCTGTTACGTCCTTCTTGACGTTCTTTAGAGACGTGATTGAGCCTGCGGCCAGTTAGTCAACTGTCATAAGTAACCCGCCATTGAGGGATTCAGCTCACCATCGTAGATTGTCTCATTACCTCTGATCACACGGACCTTCTTGGCCCGATTGATCATTCCGTTGCGCACCTTACATCCTGCGATGGCTGTCTTGTTACGTCCCTTAACCGTGATTTCGAAGATTTGCCCGATCTCTGCTTCTCCCGTCACACGCTGGGTGACGTTAGGTGCCAGATGCTCACTGAGGATGCTCTTGACATCATCAATGAGTTTGTAAATTACGTTGTGGTTCATGATGTTGACGCCGCGCTTCTCTGCCATCCGAGAAATTACAGGGTCGATAGGCATGTTGAACGTGATAATGTGACCATTGGCTGTGGCCGCGTGCTCAATGTCGAACTCACTGATCGGGCCTACTTCGGAGCGAAGTACATTGGCGTACACCTCGTTGTTACCGACAGCAGTGACCGAGTTGAGAACGGCCTCTGCCGAGCCACCAACGTCGGCCTTGATGATGAATTGCACCGGCTTGGGGCCAGATTGTACAGTCTCCTCGGCCTGGTCTGCGCCAGCCACTTCTTGACGGCGTTTCTCAAGCTTTTCGCGTCGCGCTTCGTTGATAGCGGTCATGTCTTCACTCAGTTTTTGTGTCTCAGCCCGTTCCAACCGGTAGTCCACGACGCTCTTAGCGTGCTGCTCGTCGTCAGCCTGCAAAAGCTCGGTGCCAGCCGTTGGCTGTTCTCGCCAGCCATCAACCTCCACTGGCATGCCAGGGGTGGCTTCGGGGACCGTCTGGCCGGCTTCGTTCCGAAGTGTGCGCACGCGCGCCCAGGTGGTGCCAGCAACAATGATATCTCCCGTGCGAAGTGTTCCCCGCCGGACAAGTACAGTAGCTACACGGCCATAGCTCTTGGTAGTGCCTTCGATAACCCATCCTTCGACGAGACCCTGGGGGTCAGCCCGGTGATCGAGCACCTCTGACAAGGTGATAATTGCTTCTTCAAGCTCCAACATTCCCTGGCCGGTCTTTCCACTCACGCCGATTGCTTGTACGTCACCACCAAAATCCTCAACGTGTACACCGTGCATCGAGAGGTCCTGTTTCACCCTGTCAGGATTGACGCCTTCCTTGTCCATTTTGCTCATGGCAACAATGATGGGGACATTGGCTGAAGTGGCATGCTTAATTGCCTCAATCGTTTGGGGCTTAACACTGTCATCACCCGCGACGACAAGGACCACAATGTCGGTCACGTCCGCACCACGACGGCGCATATCCAAGAAAGCAGCGTGGCCAGGAGTATCCAAGAAGGTGATGGTCTTTCCGGAAGGCATAGCCACCGAGAATGCACCAATGTGCTGCGTAATACCCCCGTGCTCCGTTGCGACAATCGAGGACTTGCGAAGCCAGTCGAGGATAGTGGTTTTGCCGTGGTCAACATGCCCCATGATCGTCACGACCGGGGGCCTGACAGGTAGACTTGACTTGTCTTCTGGCTCTGGCGCTGCGGTCAAGTCACCCTCGCCAGTGTCAAAAATGGGTTCATAGTTGTATTCAGAGGCGATCAGGCCGGCGGTTTCGGCATCAAGGACATGATCGTACGTAACGTCGTCGAAACCCATATCCTCCATACGTTTAACGAACTGTGCAGGACGGACGCCAATGACGTCTGCAAGACTGCTGACGCTGATGAACTCGGGGAGATACAGAGGGCTGACATTAGCTTGCATCTCCTTCTTGCGCGCTTTCTCCTTCTTCAAGCGCTTCTTCTCTTCGCGACGCTTCCGGCGCTGAGACTCCTCGTCCTCGTCAAATAGATCCTCCTCATCCCTACCAGACTCGCGTTGCTTGCGACTGGCCTTTCGTTTCGGCTTCGTTTCCGACACATCATCTTCACGTACTTTGATGTTCTTCAAAGATGACGGATCCCAGGTCCAAGGGTCACTAGCTTTCTTTTCCTGCTTGTCTTCCTCTGCTTGCTGCTGCGCTTTCCTCTCTTCCTTCTTTGCCTCCCTCTCTTCTTTTCTTGCCTCTATTTCCTTTTTCCTTGCTTCCCTGGCTTCCTGGACGGATATTTCTTTATCGACATTAGAGTCGAACACAGGTCGTGGACCGGCAAATTGCCCTTGGCTTGCCATATAACCTCTGAACGCTGCTTCCCTTGAGCCGAGCCCTTCAGCATTCCCGCTATCCTTATCAGACAAAATAGACTGGCCCAATTTTCGAATCTTTGTAGCTTCCTCGTCTGCGTGGCGATGGCGGGGTGAGCCCCGGTGCCGTTGCGGCCCCTCGTGCAGGTTCGGCCTGGGTGCTTTGCAGTGCGGGCAGACGATATGCTGCCCGTAACATCTCGTCTGACAATCCGGACATGTCCAACCTGTCGACCGCTTGTGCTTAGGCACTTTGTTGACGTTGACCTCGAGTGACTTGTCTGGCTGGAGAGACAGGCTTTCCTTGTCTTCATTGTTGAGACCCGAACGGCGCCTGGGGAATGCATCAGATTGCCTGGGCTTGAAGCCGGAATCACGCCATCTCGTGCTCTGCCATTGTTCTTCCGTGCGGCCCTGGGACCGCCCTTCCTTCCATCGTTGTTGCGATTGCTGTTGCCTCTCCTTACGCTGCCGTTCTTGCTCTTGTCTCTGTAATTGTTGTTGCTGTCGCTGTTCTTCTTGTTGCCTCTTTGCGACTAAAGAGTCTCGGATAGCCTGCTCCGCCGGACTCAGCCCAAGCGGTCTCTGCGCTTTGCTACCCCAACGATTACCAAACTTCGGGCCCGTAGGTGCTGGGCCGGAGCTTGTATCTGCAACTGGTTCACCGGGGCTGTTTGATGGCGGAGAATCGGATGAATCGAGACGAAGAGGAGAGATTCGAAAATGCCGTCGAGGCACCAAGCCTACTACGGGAGTGAAGGCAACATTTCTGCGGGCGGTTGCGCACGACCATTCAACACCGTGACGACGGGATAACTGTGAAGAGGAGAATGGACTATTAGCTCAAAACCTGTAGATGATAGAGAAGTTGAACTTACTTCCAAAGCAGCCCGTCTGTGCATGATGTATTGTCGTTGCTCACAGCGAAACCCTCGGCGCCAAAACTGCGGAGAAGAACATCGGCGCCGTAAGTAATCAAAGTAACGCTGGTGTATCCGCCCGTACGCCGCTTGCTGACTCATCCCGCGGGTCCGCCAGTTTTCCGCCTCACGTGCGCTCGGCGCCATCGCCGAATCGGAGGCGAGCACTCTCGCGACATCAATTGCGCTCTTCTTTCTCGTCTTCTTGATAAGCTCCGTCTCCTCCTCCTTCTTCCTGTCTGTACAAAGACTCCTGGGTTCTCGGGATTAAGTGATCAGCTGCGTCGTTCGGTGCGATTCCGTCCTTGGCTCTACGACTCGATCTCCTTTCAATTTTCAGTTTCCCGAACCTGTAATACTTCCCCGCAATGGAGTCCGAGGCATTCGAGGACATGCAGAAGGGGGGCGGAACCCTTCGCACCCTCAAGGATTTGGGTGCTGGTGCTGCTGGTGGTATTGCTCAGGTGCTTCTTGGTATGTATCGATCATCGCTTCATGTTCTTTGAACGTATACATATACCATCCCCGATGCAATTGCGCGCACATGTCCTCCGTACATGGAAGTATCCCATTACGGTGAGAGATGTGCTGGCGCATTACTTTATCATGCCCTATCTTGATGACTATCCCTCCTCATCATCACCACAAGTCTCTACTCAAAGCGCATACTAACAATGCACAGGACAACCTTTTGGTGGGTAACCCTTTCTCTCCAACCCGAGAGTTCTCCTAACAATGAACAGACATTGTCAAGGTCCGCCTGCAAACCACCACCCAGTACTCCAGTGCTCTGGACTGCGCCACCAAGATCCTGAAGAACGAGGGCCCCTTCGCCTTCTACAAGGGTACCCTGACTCCGTTGATCGGAATCGGTGCCTGCGTAAGCAAACCCCCCGTCAAGCCAATCATCAGTCCCTTCTCACTCCTACTAACCGACCCACAGGTCAGCGTTCAATTCGGAGCTTTCCACGAAGCCCGCAGACGTCTGGAGAAGCTCAACAAGAAGAAGTACGCGGACAGCACTCTCTCCTACACCCAGTACTACATGGCCGGCAGTTTTGCCGGTCTCACCAACTCCTTCTTGTCCGGCCCTATCGAGCACATCCGTATCCGTCTGCAAACCCAGCCTCACGGAGCAGGTCGTCTGTACAACGGCCCTATTGACTGCATCCGCAAGCTCTGCAACCAGGGCGGTGTCCTCAAGGGTCTCTTCCGTGGTCAGAACGTCACCTACCTCCGTGAAGCCCAGGCCTACGGAACCTGGTTCTTGGCTTTCGAGTACCTCATGAACCAGGATGCCAAGCGCAACAACGTCAAGCGTGAGGATATCTCCAGTTTGAAGGTCGCTACCTACGGTGGTCTGGCTGGTGAGGCCCTCTGGCTGTCCAGCTACCCCTTCGACGTCGTCAAGAGTAAGATGCAGTGCGATGGCTTCGGCGCCCAGCAGCAGTTCAAGAGCATGACCGACTGCTTCAAGAAGACTTATGCTGTTGAGGGTCTGGCTGGCTTCTGGAAGGGTATTGGTCCTACCTTGCTGAGGGCTATGCCTGTGTCGGCGGGTACTTTTGCTGTGTACGTTCACCCCCTCAACTCCTACTTACTCTCCTCCTCCTGCTGCTGCTGCTGCTGCTTTATGTCGCGTACTTACTAATTACATTATGCATTACAGTGTCGAGCTCACCATGAGAGCCCTGGGCTAAGATACTTCGCCCCATCGACTTAGCACAAGAAATGAAATAAAAAAAAAATACCCAAGTTTGGTGACGGTTTAGGGTTTTGATATCCCCGTTCTAGGTTTTCTTTCATTCATTCAACACAGGTACTGGAGGAAAAGTTCCGCTTAGACATCATCCTTTTTTTACAAACAATGTTAAACTCGCATGGTTATATAGAGTTATTCGTTCTTCCTTCTGGCAAGCATTCAGGTTTTCAACACTTGGTCAGCTCAATATGATATGATATGATGATTCTTACTAGTACCCACATACACACATACTCAATCAGTATAACCATCCAATCCCACAACCAACCAATCAACCACAAAGATATCAAAATAAAACCGCCAAGGAAAAATCCCCAAAGAAATCCTGCCACGCCGTAGGAAAATAAAACAAATCCAAGCCCGGAAAATCCCACTCCCTGACGAACTGCTCAGGTATAAAACTCTGTAGATCGGCCTGCGCATCAAATAGTTCCCAAAATGGCGCCATCGCATTGGTGCCTGGTTGATTGGTATCCCCTCCCTCGCCTCCACTACTCATTTCTCCTGCCTCCTCAATCGGGGCACCATTAACCTCCCTTTCCTGCAACACACGACTATATTTCTCAATACTCAATCGCAATATCTGCATATAGATATTATTGTTGTTCCCTATCCCTGTTGTTGTTGTTGTTGTTGTTGCCGTTGCTGCCGTTGGGGCCGATTCCCCGTTCGTCCTAGTTAGCTCATCAAGGAGTCTATTTCCATGATCCAGAAGTTCCGTGTGCTCTTCTTTTTGTTCGGGGACGAGGCGAGATAACTTTAAGAGTAAGAGGAAGCAGAAGGCGCACTTGGCCCAGACGAAATCCATGGCGTATTTTAGTTTGGCGAGGTAGAAGTCGGGTTCGAGGCTGATTAGGCGGAGATGTCTTCGGGCGCTGGATTTGGCGGTTAGGAGGATGGTTTGTTCGATTGGGGACATTTCTCTACGTCGTCATATGGGTTAGTTGGTAGATATGGTTTGAGTTAGGGTTTTGGAGGGAAGGATAGTATGTACGCGACGTTCCCTACGCCCATGGAGCGGAGCGCTTTGCAGTGCAGGATTAACTCGGCCCAGCATTTTTGAACTCGTAGGGCGGCGAGGAGGAAGGGGCGTTCTTGGGTGGCGGAGGGGGAGTTTTCTGGTTCTGTTAGTAGGGTTGATATAGCGGTTTGGGCATGGTGCTATATGGTGGTGGTACCGATGATGCGTAGCCAGTCGCTGGTTGAGATTAGTTGCAGAATTTCGCGATGAAGATGCTTGTTAGGGGCTGACTTACTCGAACCAAAGATCGAGATCTACCTTCGCTTCTTGTACAAATTCTGCGATATCTGATCTTTGGAGTGTTTCTTTGGCGTCTAGAGTATCGTTTACTCTTGCTACCATCTTGTTATCCAGCCTGTCAGAATTCTATATTGTAAGGCGCTTACCACGTATGATATTCAGCTATTCAAATTAGTACTAGGGTGGGAGCCAGGTATAGGAAAGACGTACCTACCTCTACCTGGGAGAAAAGCCGTAAATCCAAGACCGTAGACGTATGATGGCGAAGCAGAATGCGACATCGATGAGCGTTTCCTGTCACCCGGATGCCAGGAGGCTTCCCACCGTCGACATGAAATCTGTTTATGCCTTCTTAGCATGCGCATATACCTGACTGGTACTGCATACTCACATATGATCAAGTACCAAGAGACCAAACCAAGTCCTAGATTTGCGCATGAGTGTACGCTCTTCATCATCCACCATCACACCTGTCATATCATGAACCCCTTCGGTATCTTTCATCGTCAGTCTCTGTATCAACTCCTCAAAGGCTTCATCCAGCCCCAGATCCAACGCCATTCTAGTTGCAAACGATAGGATCAAGGACCGCTCAGCAGAGTAGCAGGCTACAACGAGCAACGACTGCACGGATTCCAAGCAATTGATGTTTTTATTCTGAATAATCACGTTTATCAATCTCTTGAGTTCGGCATGGAGTAGATCGGGGATCTGAGATCCAGACCCTGGAATTGTCAGCGATTTGTCACTAATCCAAATGATTCTGTATCAAGCGTACTGATCTCAACTCGGCTGCCAATCGTGCAGATAGCATTAAACAGAATGCTACTCCGAGCGCGCACAGAGTTGAACGTGTCGATATCTGGATCAAATACCGGGATATACCTATCCTAATTTCCTGTGCATAAGCCCTGAAAATCATAACCAAGAATATGACCACATACACATCCTTGAAAGAACCTTTACTGCATATTAGCAAACACCAAGAAGCAACACCAAACATGACAGCAACATACGTCCTAAAGCATGACATAGCCTGATCAGCCGTCATCATCCCCCTACTAATAAAATCCAATACTGGCTCTTCCTTGATATCGAACCCCGAGCGTCGCAACCTGGTAGGCCGAGCAGCCTCCATCCCAGGAGTCGGAAACTGAAACACGCCAGCATCATGATCCCTATGGGTCATAGGGTATCTAGCGCCTCGCCAATGATGGTACCCACCCATTCCTCCCGTAGCAAGAAACGTGGGCATCGTCCCAGGATCAGACATGACATGCGCGGAAGCGGGAGAAGTGACAGCAATTTGCTGCTGCTGTTGCTGCGTAGACTGACGTAGTAGTAGCTCGTTCACATTGCTCAATTGCTCCCGTAGACGCTGTACTTCTGCTTCGACATTCTCCAGGCGTCTGAACATGGTACCATGATCAACAAATCAACAGCATCTCCAACCGGGAATAAGAGGGAGAAGCATACAAAACAGCAGGATCCTTTGGGATTTCAAAGAATACACATCGTTTCCTTGCACGTTTACATCTAATCATCTTCATCGGCATACTCATCTTAGAATTCATTAGGACACACGTACCTCGTACATGGCCGTTTACCATCGCATTTGACCTATACCGTCCGACATATTAGTAGAACAATACAATCGAACCCCAAGACCCGGTGTCATAGTTTGTAAGAAAGATGACTTACTTTCGACTGCCGACAAGAAGCACATGCTTTCTAGACCATATTAACATATATTAGCAGTACTTCTTTCAGGTAGATAATAGCTACTGCACTAGTAGCATCAACAGCTCATATAATTCCAAAGGAGACCTAGGACTCAAGTCAAGCATGCATACCGGGATACGCTTCTTCCCAACCGGAGCGGATACCGCGCAGGAAGATTCCTCATCCGAGTCCATTATTTACTTTCCGAAGGGGTATAGATGTTTGCACTAGATTAGAATTAAGACTGCGTCAATTCATGCAGGGTATGCGCACTGATCGTCGGAAGAAGGAGTCGGTTTGGAATGGGGTAAATAGATTGAATAGGGATGGCATGAGAGGAAAAGGCGGGGCCCCACGCCGTCGCCGGGGGATTGCCGAGTCGGCTATTAAAAGGTACTAACTACGAACTTGGTTTGATTGCGGTTGTTTTTTATTTACCCGCTGTCTAGCTTCTTATACAAGTATTATACTAATAACCTGGTAACACGTTGCTGAGTATTATCAATATCAGATACTCTTCATAGACTGAAAAACATGATAACCTGAAATGAACGCTATAAACATAACCCGCATATTCCTCAAGACATTCCATCATCCCTTGCCTCATTTGCGTTAAGAGCCCGCTCTTAGTATACATAGACAAAATCCTCGTTCTCCCAGTCCGTCAGGTCTTTGAACGCATTGTCAGCGCCAAGCGTCTCCTGAGGTGCTTCGGTCTTGTCGATTGGGACGGCTCCTACGGCTTGCATGGAGTGGTCGATGATCTTTGCGCTCTTTCCCATGCTCACTCGCTTCTTCTCGTGTTTCTTGTTGAGGAAGTAGAGGTATCCCATGTTCAACCTGAGAGTAGATGAGTAGGTGAAGCTAAATTACGGTGTAGAGGACTTACGCGCAAAGCAGGATGAGGACGCAGAACATGGCAAGGCTGTTTGCATGCATGATCAGTCTTGTAAACAGTCAATCATTGGCTCTTTTCAGGCTTACTTGGAGAGCAGACCACGTCTGTATAGCGGTGCTTCAGTTGTAGTATACAGGTTCGAACCAAGAACCTGTTTCATGTAAGTGTCTGACTCTGCTTTCCAGACTGGTTGGGTTACATACGTTACCAGCACATTGTCCAACGAGTAGAATACCGTTCACAAGCTTCTTCTTCGTTTCGCCTCCTGTGTTACCCGCGGACCACGAGTAGATCAAGGGTGCTATAGTCTGTTAGCTTGGGCCGTTTGCGCAACTGATAGAAACATACTAATGCCAGGATACACAGAGATCTAGCATGAATTAGCAAGCACAAGCAGATATCACCACAAAACTTACAATATAATATCCCGCAAGCAGTGCCCCATTGTGATTACCATCGTGCGGAATCTGCAACAACATCACACATCCCGCAATGGCAGGCAAGCAGAGCAAAGCTATAACAGGACCCTTCATCTGGATCTTGGTTGCCATCCACGCCCCTCCCATAGTTGCAATGAGCTGGACAGCGCCAAAAGGTATATTGAAGAGGATTGTGTCAAATTGGTTGAACCCGAATGCTTCAATAATTAATGGCCCGAACGTCGAGATACCGCCGCTGGGGATTCTGTGATACCGTCAGTACGTTCCACTTCAATGCTCGAATAAAAGCATCTTACGAGATTGAGAACATCAAAGCAAACCAGAAGAAAGATTTGACGTCGAGGCATGTTTCTTTCACATGCTGCCATTTCCACTCGTGCGTTTCGATACCTTGCTGGTTCATACGAAGTCTAACCACAGCTGTGAGCATTTGGCGCGTTTTTTGAAACGGTTGCATATTGAATACCTTTCAATTGCCAAGACTTTATCCTCTTCCTGAAGGAATCTGGAATTCATCGGTGAGTCGGGCGTCAGAATACTAGACATAAAGGTCAGGAGGGTGCAACGGTCGTCGTTGGAACGGCATGTCTCACAATACAACGGCAGAGAAAACAATCGTGATGAGCCCGAAAAACAAGAAGATAATCTGTGGTATAGTTAGCATCTCGTGTCCATGATGGTGAAGATAACCCACCTGGTAGGGCTCGAAGACCGAAGATCCAATGTGACCAAGACCGTAGGTTATCAGACTTCCAAACTAGATCGTAGTCCCCATTAGCAGTCATACATAACAAGTAGGTCAGAGACAGAACTCACCATGTTCACCACACCATTCATGGCATACCATGAACCAAGCCGGACGGGCTGTTCTCGTCGTCGATACCACATTTGCGTGATCGCAATGAACGCCGGCGCTTGTCATCCAACCTCAGCTCTATTACAAGACAATGAATTGTGAATTGGGTGATACGCACGTATACCAGCTTCAAAGAGGCCTAAAAACATCCTACAAACCAACAACTTCGCAAAAGTATTCGCTGGAGTCATGCATGTCAGGGCAATGCCCCAGAAAAAGGTTGTGCACGCCAGGAACTTCCCCAGAGGCACCTTAACCAGGATGTAGGCGACGAACGGCTGAGCAACGAGTTGCACGAGGTAGACGACCGCGCCCAGCCACGAGTATTCCTGCCCATGTAGATGGGCCTTCTCAACCAGACCAAAGACCGATGCGTATGAGAGAGTCGACTTGTCGACCTGCTGCAGGAAATAGATTCCCAGCAGAATAGGCAGGAGTCTAAGATCGATCTTCCGAAGGACTTTGGCGTTGTTCTCTGGTGTTAGGATGGCTGAATGACCTGCGTCTCTCATGAGGTCAAGAGCTGTGTCCTGGGTAGGTTCGTTTGCATGCTGCAGCTCCCGACAGGGCGCGGTCTCAATAGATTCAATATGCTCATCTTGTGTCTTGTCTGCGGGCGTTGTTCCTTGTTTGTGGGACATGGTTCCTCGTCTGTACTTCTGTACTCGAACTGTACTTGAAATAGCCCTAACAAGACAACCGCCTCTCAAGTAGGGAGAATAAGCGTTTCAACCTTCAGCAAGAGTAGTTCAGAACGACGAGAGGATTCCCTAAAGAACGAGATAAAAGCCAGACAAAGGCCACAACAGCACTGGGTAATAGCATATCCCCCTTCATCGTACACCTACACTCCAAAGGGCAACCCCGTGGGGAAAGTCTCATCCTCTGCCCCGGACGGAAGCAGCCCAAACCCGACGCGGGAGCGAATCAATTCAGCCATGGCTCGTCACGACGCCCATGACAAGATTAGCGTCGAGGTAGTCGTACCATCCCGGCAACACACCACGGGATAACATGACGTGGAAACCGTCGGACATTATCCGATGCGACGTCCAATGAATTGCAGTCGTGCCATCATCGTGCAGGTGAATTCATGGGAGTGGGGAGATACTCGACGTTGAACAGCATCTAGCTTCGGATTTCGGGCACGAAAAGCGAAGGACCGAGTACAAAAAGTATCTCCAGCTTCGCTTGAGTGTGGGTCACGGGGACGCGGGGGAGCACAAAATGTGGGGGAAAACCACTAACCCTGTAGAACAAAGTAGTGCCTTGTGCCAGACGTGTCGGAGATACTCCCCGAAATCCGACTATACAGCTCCACGCTGGTGGGCCTCAACGGCACTGCTCCTCATGCAATGCCGGTGGGACAGAGGCATGTAGAATCACTCAAATAGCGCTCAGCGGTATCCAAGCTTGGATCCGGTTCCTGTAGTTGTATCCTCAGTCGTATCCTAGACTTTGTACTCACAGTCACTCAATTGACTCTGACCTAGGGAGTACACACACAACAATGCCTCAAAAAGAGTTCGTCCCCAAGACTTACCAGGAGTCTTCAACTGGGGCTCAAAACTCCTCCTCTGTACATCTCCGCTCGAGCCCCGATGAGCGTTCCTTCGACTTCTCCTTTGAACCAATTCGCGAGAACCTATTCAGAGTCACCTTCTCGTCGCAAGACCACCCTCTCCCTCCCTTCCCCAGTGTGACCAAGCCAGCAACAAACCTAGATGGAGTCCAAGTCTCCACTACAGGCGGTTCGAATCAAAAGACAATCGAAGTGGGAGGCGTAACAGCGTCCGTTGAGTGGAGCAACGCCCCAGTCGTCTCCCTATCTTGGAAGGGCACCGAGAAGCCCTTATATCGCGATCTGCCACTTCGCTCCTATGTCGCAGACTCCACCGGCATCGCACACTACACAGAACATGACCGTGATTGCCTTCACGTTGGGCTTGGCGAGAAAAGAGCTCCCATGGACCTCACAGGACGCCATTTCCAGCTCTCGGCGACTGACAGCTTCGGATATGATGTTTACAACACCGACCCTCTATGCAAGCACATTCCTCTGCTGATCAAGGCATCACCTGATGGTTGTGTGGCCATCTTCTCCACAACACATGGCAGAGGAACCTGGTCTGTCGGCTCGGAGGTCGACGGCCTCTGGGGGCACTTCAAAGTCTACCGTCAAGACTACGGCGGATTGGAGCAGTATCTCATCGTCGGCAAGACGCTCAAAGATGTCGTGCGCTCCTACGCAGAGCTTGTCGGTCTTCCGATCCTCGTCCCCAGATGGGCATATGGCTACATCTCAGGCGGATACAAGTACACCATGCTTGACGACCCGCCTGCTCACGAGGCATTGATGGAGTTTGCAGACAAGCTGGAAGAGCACGGCATTCCCTGCTCCGCACACCAAATGAGCTCCGGATACTCGATCGCCGAAACTGAGCCAAAGGTCCGCAATGTCTTCACCTGGAACAAACATCGCTTCCCCAACCCCGAAGAGTGGATTGCCAAATACCATGGTCGGGGTATCCGCCTTCTCTCCAACATTAAACCCTTCCTGCTCGCCTCACACCCCGACTTCCAGAAGCTCATTGATTCGAACGGGTTCTTCAAGGACCCTGCGAGCAACAAGCCGGGCTACATGCGACTGTGGAGTGCCGGAGGCGCAACAGGAGGTGACGGATGTCACATCGACTTTTCCTCCGCTGTTGCGTTCAAATGGTGGTATGACGGTGTGCAGAGCCTGAAGCGCGCCGGCATCGACGCCATGTGGAACGACAACAACGAGTATACGCTCCCAGACGACGATTGGAAGTTGGCATTGGATGAGCCAACCGTCTCCGAAGCCGTCAAGAAGGGCGTCGAGAACTCCGTCGGACAGTGGGGTCGCGCCATGCACACCGAACTCATGGGCAAAGCCTCCCATGACGCTCTGCTCAATTTTGAGCCCAACCACAGACCATTCGTCCTGACTCGCAGTGCCACGGCAGGTACAATGCGCTACGCCGCCAGCACCTGGAGCGGAGACAATGTGACCAGCTGGGAGGGCATGAAGGGGGCGAACGCTCTGTCCCTCAGCGCAGGTATCTCTCTTCTACAGTGCTGCGGTCACGATATCGGAGGATTCGAAGGACCTCAGCCCTCTCCAGAGCTGCTGCTCAGGTGGATCCAATTGGGTATCCACTCGCCTCGTTTCGCCATCAACTGCTTCAAGACATCACCTGGAAACAGCTCCGTCGGAGACGTCATCGAGCCGTGGATGTACCCCGAGATCACCCCTCTCGTCCGCGATACAATCAAGCGTCGCTACGAGATCCTCCCTTACATCTACTCCCTCGGTCTTGAAAGCCATCTGACCGCGTCCCCGCCCCAGCGCTGGGTAGGATGGGGCTATGAATCGGACCCGGAGGTATGGACGAAGGCCCTGAAATCGGGCGACGAGCAGTTCTGGTTCGGTGACACCATCATGGTCGGCGGTGTCTACGAGCCCGGCGTGAACGTTGCCAAGTTATACCTTCCCCGTAAGGCGAATGACAAGTTCGACTTTGGGTATGTGAACATGAACGAGCCTTATAACTACCTCGCCTCCGGACAATGGGTGGAAGTGCCCTCCGAATGGAGGAAGAGCATTCCCCTTCTGGCTAGAATCGGCGGAGCTATTCCTGTCGGAAAGCCTGTTCATACCAGGGTTCCTGGTGATGACACTCCGGCTTCTGTGGCTGTGAAAGAGGTCGATGATTACCGTGGAGTCGAAATTTTCCCGCCCCGTGGTAGTTCTCATGGTCAGGTTTTCAGTACTACTTGGTTTGAAGATGATGGTATCTCGCTTGAGGCGCGCATCTCGGAGTATACTATCACGTATAGCTCCACGGAGGAGAAGGTTATTGTTGGATTCTCTCGTGATGAGAAGTCTGGATTCGTTCCTGCTTGGAAAGATCTTGATATCGTCCTTCATAATGGTGATGAGAGGCGCGTGGTGTCTGATATTGGAAAGACTGTGGAGTATAAGGGTAAGGACTCTCGGGGACGGGTGGTTTATACCTTGAAGAACTAGATAGGGGATGTTGTGATTGGTTTAGAAAGTTCGTTGAAGCTTTTGGTAATACGTGGTGAAAATTGTTTACCCGGATCATGATGATAGATGTCGGTGGCGTTAGATAGTATAGAAGAGCTTGAGTTTTGAATCAACTGTTTGTTGTGACACATGGATAACTTCTAGTTAGTTAAGATGATACCTATTAGTAAGTACCCATAGGACGATGAGGCTGAAACGCAGTCAACCTAGGCTTAAGGCGTGGTCGGCCATGAACTGCGCAATCAGCTAAGGGGAACAAATGGACAAGACTATCCTAATCTATGAGACTAGACCAGAAGATCGATTCAAATAGCATTGTTGATACATGATATAACACCAGAGAAAAAGGAAAATTTACAATGTCCTATACAATACAATCCCAGCCGAAAGTTCAGATGTAGACAGACAGATATCAATAAGAGCAATAGTCAACACTTCGACTCTATTCCTCATCCCTGGAAGCCCCTTCCTTAGGCTTGTCGAGCGGGCTTCCCTCAGAAGGAACTTCCTCAGACACAACATCCTGAGAGGCTTCAGGCGTCTGTCCTTCCGCGGTCTCCAAAGTCGTCTCCTCTACTTGCTGACGGAGTGGTTGCATGGGTTTATACGTCCACTCACCCTTACGCGCTTGCGCCAATCTTCTCTGCTGACCCGCTTCACCGGCCCGTCCCAGCACACCAGCAATCAGAGTCACGGAACGCAAACTGTCGTCGTTGGCAGGGATGGGGTATGTGACACGGGTCGGGTCGGCGTCAGTGTCAATGATACCAATAGTCGGGACGTTGTTGAGACCACACTCGTGCAACAGGACAACGTTCTCGACAGGGTTCAAGCAAACAACAAGGTCGGGCTTAAGGGCACGGAAAGATTCCAGTTCCTCTTTCCAGAGGTCCTCAATTGTATCATCCAAGCCGTTCACGATCTTCTTTTCGCAATGGCCCAAGATCTGCTGGCCATTGGTCAAGCTACCAGGGATCCAACGCTCGAAAATGTGATATCCCTGAGCCAGTTCCGCGGCTCTGACCACCGCACGCTTCTGACCCTTTCGCGTGCCCGCAAAGAGAACCAATCCACCCCGGTAGGCAACTTCCTCCACGATCTTGGCTGCACGTCGGAGGTAAGCCGCCGTGATGTCAAGAGAAATAATGTGAGTCCCCTCCCTGATACCGAAGATATAGCGCGAATTTTGGGGGTTCCAGCGGGAAGTCGAGTGTCCAAGGTGTGTCTGGTTGGCGAGGAGCATTTCGAGGGTAACGTCGGTGGCTTTGGGAGGGTTTTTGAGGAGGCTCTCTGGCCGGTAGACGCCGGTAACATCGCTACCGAGACTGTGGAATTTGATCCCTGGAAAGAAGAGGGTATGTTAGCTTTCCCTTCAGGTAGCGGCAGGCCTCACGGCCATGATGTTGCGGTACTTACTGCGGAGCGTGTTCGGATCCAAGTTCTCTTGTGCACCAGATGTACCAGGCTCCGGCACTGCAACAGCCGGTGCAGGCGTCTCTAATTGAGGTGCTTGCTCTGCAACGATAGTCTGTACTGGAGTCTGGCCAGTCGTCTCGGTGGAAGAGAATCGGGACAAGATGCGCGACTGACGGGGAAGAGCCCGAAGCTGGCGGCCTGAATGAAGACGGGGGGATCAGCACCAATATTTCCTATCAATTATTCCAATCCATAGAATGAACTCACTTTGCCGCACAAGTTGCCGAACAATCATACTGTCTTGTGTTGGCCGGAGTTCTGGTCTATCGCAGCTGGTTCAAGGGAATCTTCCGCTCGAACTTTTGATGTCGGGCTTGGCAACAACAGGTGCCTGAGGCGGGTAAATAATACGCTAAGCCGTTTACGGAACCATTTCTAGATGTCGGGGAATTCAACTCGATCCCAGCAATTCCGATGCATCTCAGACTACTACTACTACTTGCTTACTTCGTATTTGTAGCACACCACCTGAACGGTGATTTATTGTTTCAGAGACCGCCGAACACAAACATGACTACCTACCAGTTCCTAGCAACGAGAGCCAATGTCAAACGAACCAACAGTAGCACTCGCATATCGCCCAGACCGCCAAACCATCCGTCAACAGCAGAGACCAAACACAACAACCCAATAACAAACCTTGTACTTACACTCCTCCGACATCTCCCGGAAAGAGTAGGCAGGATGTCACTTGATTCCACCAATCGACCACTACATCCCCTAGACCATCATGCAGAACACAGCACAGTAGCCAACCGCCCAAATGCCAATCTGCAAGTACAAAGTAGGGTAGGTTGGTAAATACATAACCAGCATATCGATACACTCAAGAGAAAGCGACGATCATATACACAAGACCGAACCTGCTCCGCCCCTAAACAAGGCAAACAATTGCCTTTGAAGCGACACGCGTACTCACCAATCCCCGTTCATGTTATTTGTCAGGTCATATGTCAAAGTCAACTTGCAGTGTGTGGGTGATCCATCCGACCCTTTAACCTCTCAGTCTCAGCCACGATCATTGATGGTCTATGTATCTATTTAACTATCTGTTTAAGGTAATCGAGATGTCAAGGTGGGGATTTTGTGTTAAAGGAACAAGTAAGCCGGGACATGTTGGGCCGCGGAAATTTCGCACTATTCGCTTTGGGTAAGTGTGCTTTTCTCATCTTGAGATATTTTACCATCGTATTGTAGACAAGACGAGGAGGAGGTTACATCGATCTATTTCTTTATGCCCACTAGATCGTGTAAAACGTGGGGTTAGATAGTTGGAGAAGAATTGCAAAGAGGCATTTTTTTTCTTTTCCGTGGAATGTGCGGGATTCTTCCTGTTTCTTGTCGGATACTAAACCGGCAATACTACTAGGTCTCCCGCTTGGAGGTATCTTTGTGAGGGGGCCAAAACCTCCTGCTGTTAGTAGTATCAGAAGTTACAGCAGACATTACTGGTTGATGATGAGCTGGCTTTCGCTGATTACCTTCAGAATGATTCAATTTATTTTTCCGGCATGAGACAAGACAGAAAAGCAAAGGGTGGGGTCGGGTCGTCGAGACTTTTCCACCCCCGCCACCAACCTGAAGCCCCTCATCCTGGTAACATCATGGGGCGAACTCAAATGCGTGAAGATCGGTCAAGTGGTGGGTGGTGGGAGGATGGTCGGATCGCGATTTTCTTTCCAAGGATGAAGCTACTTGGGAATTTATAATTCTACAATTGTGAAAATGACTGCTCAGGAGCAAATGTAAATGAGGCCAAAGACTGTATGATTCTTCGTAACGTAACCACAGAAGAGCTATGTAGACTGGAATACAGTGTTGGTATCAAGATTAAGAATTTCATCCGCGCCGGGTATGTGTAACAAACAAAGCGATCTCAGCAATAGCAATGAGAAGGAAATGTAGAAAAAGCATTTCAATAATTCTTCATCCAAAACCCGGCCGGCCGAACGAAGCAAAAGTCGAGATTTCAGTCATTCACGGTAGTCGCAAGGAAATTCGTAAGAATAAGCAGGAAAAAAGCAATCGGTTTAGAAGAGAAAAAGAACCGTCTATCGCTTGAAGAAGCCGCCGAGCTGGTCCATCATGCCACCGCCGTGGTGGGGCTGGCCACCCTGAGGGGGGTAACCACCATAGCTGCTCTGGTAGTCCTGCTGCTGCTGCTCGTCCTTGTGCTTGTGCTTCTTGATGGCATCCTCGGCGATGCTTCCCATGATAGCTCCACCGATGGTTCCGAGGATTCCGTGATCGGCCTTGTGACCGGCGAATCCGCCCGCAAGACCACCGGCAATGGCACCGCCGAGGCCACGCTCACCGTCCTGGGCTCCGCCGGGGGCACCCTGGTTGTATCTAGAGACAAAAATGTTAGCTAGAGCTCATGAGTATCAAAATACTATCGTGTATAACATACTCGCCACGCTGGTCCTGGCCGTACTGCTGACCACCCTGGTGCTGCTGGCCGTACTGGCCCTCACCATACTGGGACTGTCCACCACCGCCGTAGTAGTCGCTAGAGGCACCACCCTGGCTGCCGTGCTGCTGCTGCTGGTGCTGGCTGTACTGGTCATAGCCACCCTGCTGGCCATATCCTTGCTGCTGGCCGTATCCGCCCTGCTGGCCGTATCCACCTTGGCCGTAGCCGCCCTGGCTGTAACCACCCTGCTGCTGGCCGTAGTAGCCCTGGTTGTTGTATCCGTCGTAGCCAGACATGGTTATGATGTGGATTGGGGTTGTAGAAGTAGTTGATTGATAGATTGGTAAGGTTTGATGGAGGAAGGAAGTGGAGTGGATTTGGTAAGATGATGGGAAGGTAAGACAGAACGAGGGGTTCCCAGGCCTTTTATAGTGGGATATTTGGCCACTGGATAAGGTGATCTGGCACTGCAGGGCTGAGCAGGCGCAGTGCTGACTCGCCCAGAAGGTGAGCCCCACCAAGATTCAATGATGCCCCCGCTACGCCAAGAGCCCAGCGCCAGCTGAGAAAACACGGGAACAAGTAATTACGCTGTACAGTCACAGCCCCCGGTCAGAAATTAACCCGGTTTGAAGTGAGATTACGACTTCCATTGTGGCTGTTCGTTGAGGCTGATGCCGTACGGAATCACTAGATCCCCCGCCACCATGCAGCGCGGGGTGGCTGTGCCATGTGTTCATCTTGGGCGCAGGGCGGGTGTTGATCTGGTCTTCCTTTCGGAATTGCTCCCCGCCAACATGGGGATCAGGTACTTTTTCCTTTTCTATTGCTTTGCCTGACAGTGGCAAATTCAACGGGCGTCTATAGATTAATCATGCCTGTCATTATGCGATTACTTCGATACGCAGCGCATTACACATCCGGCCCCTTACTTTCCCTTCACCTAGTCATAGTAAGCGCCAGAGCTAGCCGCGACTGGAATTTTCGGCCTCGGAGTTAGCGCGGGTACATCGGTGACGTTACCATGGTATAATAGTTATTACACATCATACCGAGCTCACATGTGGCTTTCCCACACAGCCGCTCAGTGGCTTAGCAACCATTGTCGCATCTTGCATAAAATAGTCAACTGCGTGCGCACATTTACTTAAGTATGGCTGTGCGAATCCATAAATAGTACTACGTACGTACTGATGGCGCGATGCCGATACTGTATAGTACCAATACCATCTAGTCACCACCCTATTGGGCAGACTCAACATCGCAACCATCTGCTAGAGTTTTTACCGAAATAAGCCCCCATATTCCCTTCCCTGGAAATGCCGGATCATCGGAATAGCACATCTCCGTGTTTGCCGGATACTCTACGTACAACTTACCCAAATAAGTAGGTTTGTTCCTAATTGGGGTCCAAAAAATGACCGGCATTAGCAGGCAGACACATTATTACACTAGTAGTGTAGGATTCCGTCCGCCTAGTGTTGCGAACACGTACGAGCAGTGGAGGAATCCGGAGTGAATCTGGTCTCTGAGTGGATCACTCGTTTTTGGTTCCAGACAGTTTTACTGGGTTTCGCTTCTCTTGGACCCTTGGCGGGCTGAGACTTGCAACGATCCGGGCCTCGGGGCTATGGGGCACCACTGGGCAGTTAATCAGATCAGATATGTAGGTGTGAGAGATGATGTGCCCGGTTTTCGGTAGTCTAGATATCTTGTAGATCACAGGTGGCCGAGTTAGCCTTGTCGAATGTTATTCTAGAATCCTCGGGTGCTGCGCCGAGATTAGTCCAGGGCGCACACCCCTCCTTGTGTATGGCGGCTGTTGTGCTCTGCCTAGCATCGGGCGGGATGTTAGAGCTGAAGGGATAGCCTGTCGAATCCACCTCGAAGCATGATGTCAACGGTAGGCAGCAAATAGTTTCTAAACTATGGCAGAAGGCTGAATAAATAAGCTGGACAATCTGCAAATACCATGCTTGGTCATCCCTCGTAGAATCACGATCACGATGAAATGATCCACGGAACCAAGTTATGTATAAAAACGCGGGGCCATAATCAACCACTACAGTGCTTACAGCCTTACACACCAACCCAGCAATAAGCAACTACTTACCCAGGCAATATCAAACCTTATCATACCAAGATTCCCCAAACCCCTTACAACCAACGCAGTACAACCACCCTCCCCAGCATACGCAAAATGCAAGGTTAACCGCACTACCATGTTGCACATCTCAAGCTTCCTACACTCAGCTAGCCCACGCGGCACCATAAACATCTCAAGTATTCGCGAGGTACTCTCAAAAAGTGCCCCTCAAAGCCCCAAGAACTAGTCTAGACAGATCATCATCTGACTCCAGCGACCAGCCGGTGGAAGCAAACAGATTGGTCGCCTTTAAGGTTATACTTTACGCGGTGCCTCTCGTGGTGGATAGCCCGCCTGACCGACAACTGCGACATCAGTAAGTTAGTAGTATACTTATGGAGGTGGCGAGGAAAGCATGTTTCAACTGTAAATCAGCACCCGCTTGCGACCGTCACCGAAATTTATCTTTCCCTACGATGAACACATGGATCATCCTGAAAATTCGCTCATAGTTGGGTTTGCAATCTGGATGATGTGCGACAATTGTAGATCCACGCCTGTAGGTGGCAGGGGGTGCCACTGCGTATTTGCTTCTTTTTTTTAAAAAAAGCGTAGCGTTCCTTCCCTGAAATGCAGCAAAAATGAGGGAGCTTTAAAGAGTCTTTCGACTTCGAGATCATCATTCATCGAAGGACTCCTGACTCATACTACTAGTTATCGATGTGTTGACCTTACGTCTGAAACCCCAGCAAATATTGTCGGATATATATACATAGTGCATCAGCTGGGCCTTACCACAAAATGAAATCCGTACTCATTCTACTATCCCCCCTATGCCTCTCCACCATCTTACACGCTTCCCCAACATCTACGCCCAATCCCAACCCCCCGACAGTGTTTCTCATCCGTCATGGCGAGAAACCCCCAGATCCTGGGGACAGTGGACTAAATGCCGATGGGTTCAAACGCGCCGAGTGCCTCCGGGAAGTATTCGGCGTGGGGTCACCTTATGAAATAGGCCATGTGATGGCACCCAAGATCAATAAGAGTAAGACATGGCGCATCTCAGGCGGTTATTCCCACTTTCAGGCCGGATAAGCTAATGTTTATGTTGGTGACTGCTCAGGAGGCCAGCATAGGCGTTCCTATGAGACCGTCCTCCCCGTCGTACAGGACCTTGGCCTCTCCGTTGATACATTCTGCAAGCGCAATCACGTTAAGTGTGTGGCAAAACGGATCAAAGAGTTCAAGGGATCAGGGAATATTCTGATCTCCTGGCGCCATGGTAAGATGAGGCAGATTGTCCAGGAGTTGGGGTATGAGGACCCTCCTGAATATCCTGATGATCGGTAAGTTATTAGAGAGTCTGGTTTTGGGCTAGATGAGTTACTGATGAATGGGTTTCCTATCTAGGTTCGATTTGATCTGGACAATTCCATTTCCTTATGACAATATCACTGAGATTCAAAGCGAAGAATGTCCGGAATTGGATGTGCCAGTGCCAGCACTACTGAAGGTGCAAGAGTAAATAAATCATCATGGGCTGGTACCTGATGAGGAAACCCGCTGTCTATATGGTATGGGGTTCTTAATGAAGTCAATGACTTTCTGTATGGTATGGACAAATCCAAATCTTTTGTGCACCGACTTTTCGTAGCTGTATGATAATGAGTGGGCATAGTACTGTAGTTATCTAAATAGCAGCTGTAATCTCATTGACCAGTTGCTCCTGCACAAGGTCAAACATTAATCCGAACAACAGTCTGTGTGCGCGGGCGGTGAACAGCCGAGCGGAGACAGAGCGCCAAGATTTCAACCTGCCCACCCAATTTTTTCGAGGTATCGCGGCCTTCACTACGTTCGACCGAGCGTTGCCCAAATTTCTCATCAACCTCCAGTATATTACTGGTTTAACGGCTTGGATCCCTTGGAAGGTCTGCGGTCACTCTGTTTCTTGAAGGATGGATGATATCGAGGTGTGTTGTTCCGTGCATTGCATTATGCCCGATCACGAGGTTGACCTCCTCTATTTTTTCTTCTTCAGGAACGCCTGCGAAGCCATGCTCAGGCCTTCGACGGTTTATTGTCGCTGATCCCGGCAAAATTTTATTACGGCGAAGATGGCAGTGTATGTGACTTGTCCAATCTTTTCTTGCTGCAAAATTTCCTCCTGCCCTTCCCTTTTCTCCTTTCGTCTCATTTAGCGTCGCGCTTAAGACACAGCTGACCAGTGGTTCCTGGAATAGGATCAATGGCAGCGCAAGAAGCAGACTAAGGAGCAGGCCCGTGAAGCCAAGCGGGCGAAGTTGGACCCCGATTCCGCCAAGTCAGCCAAGGATGTGATGGACGAGAATGCACGCAAGCGTAAACGTGACGAGGAAGGGAATGGGGAAGAAGACGACTCCTCTGATAACGGTGAACTCGGCTCCGAGAAGCCCAAGGAAGGATTGAAGAGAGGAGATGCCAACTCAAAGAAGCAAAAGCAGACCGAAGACTCGGCTGATGCGGAGCGCACATCCGCCAAGTCGGCCGAAGAGGCAGAAGCGCGCAAGAAGTTGAAGGAGGAAAAGAAGGCCCAGAAGAAAGCTGCTCAGAAGGAGAAGAAGAAGGCCAAGGAAGCCGCTAGGAAGGTCAAGGTAGCCGAGCAGCCCGAAGAGACCGAAACACCTGCTGTGCAAAAATCCGAGTCGACCCCCGCCAACAAGACCAAGGAACAAAAACAAGAACAAGAGGACAGCGATAGTGATGACAGTGAAATTGCGGATGGCGTCCCCGCCGAAGGTCTCTCGCTCGAGTTCAACGCCGAACAAGAAGAACAACCATCCTCTTCTGCGTCCACCCCCAACTCCCCTGGGTTCGATGCTTCCAATCCCCAGTCGGGCAGCTCTTCCATATCCTCCATTGTTCCCTCCACCGAAGCCTCCAAATCCTCCACCTCCGAACCTAAGCCTCTCAAGCCTACCCCCGATGAGCTCAAGCAGCGGTTACAGAAGCGGCTCGATGAACTTCGCGCAGCCCGCCATGCCGATGGGCTCAACGGAAAGCCCGCTAGAAACCGTCAAGAGCTAATCGAAGCTCGCCGCCAAAAAGCCGAGCAACGCAAAGCGCACAAGAAGGAGCTGCGCCAAAAGGCTAGAGAAGAGGAGCAACGGCTGAAGGATGAAGCCATGGCCCGCCGCTTTTCTCCTGGTGGCTCGGGATCCCTTCTCGCCTCCCCGCGCTCACCCGCTGATTCCGTCGGCTCGAACAACAACTACGCTTTTGGCCGCGTTGTCTTCGCAGATGGCCAACACGCCGACCCCACTCTTTCCGGAGTCCGGGAGCAACCTAAGAGCCACGGTCCTAAAGACCCTGCCGCAGCCCTGAAGGCTGTTGAAGCGAAGAAGGCCAAGCTCGCCGCCATGGACGAGCAGAAGCGGGCTGACATCGAAGAGAAGGACCTGTGGCTTAACGCGAAGAAGCGGGCACATGGCGAACGGGTCCGTGACGATACATCGTTGCTGAAGAAGGCGCTCAAGCGCAAGGAATCGGCGAAGAAGAAGTCCGAGCGCGAATGGAAGGAGCGTCTGGAAGCCGTGAAGAAGGGCAAGGACATGAAGCAGCAGAAGCGTGAAGAGAACCTCCGGAAGCGCCGAGAGGAGAAGGGCAACAAGGGAGGCGGCAAGAAGAAGCAGGCCGGAGGAGGTAAGAAGAAGTCCAGACCGGGCTTTGAGGGCAGCTTCAAGGCCAAGTCTGGAGGCAAGAAATAAGCAAACATTGTGCTGCTGTGTTGGAAGAAGAAGTGGAGACCCGTCCAAAGTGTAATACCAAGCTGCAACCTCTGACCATGTGTACATACACGCACAGAAGAATGGGGGGCCGGAAGATTCAAAAACAAAACGACCTAAGGAAAAAAGGGAAGAACAAAAGGGAAAACTCAGAGAGGAGCATACACATGCTACAGATTGAGCAAAAGAAGCTCGAGACCAAAAAGTTGAAGGGTGTGCGGGCATTGGAGAAACGGTGTTTGGGGAGTTTAAACTCTGGAGGTTCTCTGTTCATTTTGTGCATATATACCGAATCTTCACGAAGCATTTTTTGTCTTTGTTTGTTGTTTCTTATGCCAGCTGAGCTTGCACAACTACTACATTCATGTACGAATTTGTTTGAGTAATGAAGTGCAGCATGGTAGTGTGATCCATCATCATCTTCGTTTAAAATTGTCTGCCAGCAAACTTTTGTCTATGTCGTAACTCAGTCCAAGTCATACCTCATAAGTCATGAACCCGAAAGAGTTACCCATCATCAATCATCATCATCATCATCACTCATCATCCATCATCTAGTATCGTCTATCACCACCCCATCTATCAATCTAACATGATCAAAACTTTTACCCCCTTCTCCACCTCAAACTCTCAAACCCCTCCCCAATATATAAAAAATGAAAGAGAGAAATTAAGCAAACCTCTCATCCCTCGCCTCCAAACACGCATCCACCATCCCATCAACAGCCAACCCCCTCTGCACCTCCGTACAACACCCAATCTTGACCAACTCCGACAATGCCTCACCCACCCAATTCTGACAATTCCACCCGGGGAGATCATTCCGCACTTTAACCCTAGCGCACGCATCCCTGACCATCTTCCTAGAGATAGTAGAATTATTATTATTATCACCACCACTTACCGTCGTTACGACGGGGATATTCCGCTCTAGTTTCGCGCTCTGCGTGGGATTCGCCCCGGTTACCTCAACGAATTTGAATTCGCCGGGGGGCCCCGTGATGTGGAACATGCTTTGTTGGTTGTCGGGGTATGTGGTGAGGAGGAGCACGGCGTGCCGGTATTTGATGAAGTCGAGGGGGGAGCCATGGAAGACGAGGAGGGAGAGGGTGGCGGTGGTGGTGGTCATTGTTGGTGGGTAGATAGGGGATGAGGGCTGGGCTGGGTTGGGTTGGGATTGGAATGGGATAGGATGGTGATTCTTTCATTGTATAAGGGGACCATCTCGTGATGAAAGGGCTTATATAGCTATTTTGGCCTATTGAAGTTCATGAGTTCTTGTAGATGTTTGGGATATGCCGTGAGCGAATATCCTATCCCTTATGCAGGACGTGATGGGGCATATAGAAGTCTAGAAGGGTCTACAAAGATGCTTAATAGCTTTAAAACGTATCACAGTATGAATATAAGGGCTATGTCCTAGGCATTCTCCTACAACTTTCATCTACCAGCACTGGAACGTGTCAACCTGTTACTGCACAAAGAAAACTCCCAACACTAACACTAACCTAGTCTACTAGCTCTGTTGCTTTGTTACAGACTACGGGACGGGACGTTCTCGTCGCTACCAGAGATTGAGGGAGAGAAAGAAATGGCAGTTTCCTTTTGTTTTGTGGGAGAGATGTGTGGTAGTTCCGTGGGAGGTTTGTGGTGTAGGATTGTCTATTCGGGTAGTCGTATGGATAGTATGCTTTTGTGGATGGTCTGGACCCTTGTTTGGACATGAAGGCTGAGTTGCGGTGTAGGTACTGTGTATATTTTGAAAGTATCATGTCGGTCGAGATGGGGTTTTCCACGATAGCTTATCGGACATGGGGTGGTTATGTTCTAGTTGCTGGGTATGGGTGGTTTTGTATGGAAGGGTAGGATATATCCGATATTTCCGATTGATAGAGGTATGTAGTAGCAAAAGACGGGTGATGGGCTGGGAGAGATTGCTAGCTGGGTTCCGCAGTGTTGAGGACATTGCGTGCTTGGTTGGGGTGTGAGTGAGTGACGGAATATTATGGCAGACCATTTGGGATGTTATCAGTATATCGTTGAGTGATCCAAGCTTATCTGTTAATAATGATTGCTGCACTGGCGATAGTCGTTGCTTAGGCACTATTTCTGGCACATAACAAAGGAAAAATTCTTTGATTGGATCCCTAGACAAACAAGAGTAAAAAGAACAACAACACAACATGCAGGATTTCCTTCAACATCAAAGACAAAACCAGACCCGGAATCGAGTGGCCGATCTGATCAATTCCGGTAGACCCGACTAGTACAGAAGGTAATCAGGGAGGCGAAGGGGGTTGGGCGTGAGATATGTACAGCGTGGGGGATAATTGGGAGTGGCTACAAGCCAGGCTTTCTAGGTCGGAAAGGCTCTCTTTCTAATATCATGTTTTTCTCGCATCTCTTTCAAGGGGAGTGTCACATGGACACCGTGTCCGGTGTCATCATTGGCAAATACAGGTGCCGCTTAGCGGTAAGGAGCATCGGCTCTGATAGCAGCAGCAATTTCGGGCTCCCACTTGTCACCGTTGGCGAGAAGCTTCTCCTTGTTGTACAACAGCTCTTCACGGGTCTCGGTGGCATATTCGGCGTTGGAAGCTACGCGACATTGTCAGTAAACGACTCACGTCCTACATAATTTTAGTGATTACTCACTCTCAACAATAGCGTCGACGGGGCAACTCTCCTGGCAGTAACCACAGTAGATGCACTTGGTCATGTCGATATCGTAACGCGTCGTGCGACGGCTTCCATCCTCACGCTCCTCAGCCTCGATGGTGATAGCCTGGGCCGGGCAGATGGCCTCGCAGAGCTTGCAGGCAATGCAGCGCTCTTCACCGGTGGGGTAGCGACGCAGAGCGTGTTCGCCACGGAAACGGGGGGAGATGGGACCCTTCTCGAAGGGGTAGAAGATGGTGTAACTAAACGACCAGCGCATCAGCCGCAGATCCATTGAGACAGAACGATCCTCCCCAAAATAATGAAAAGCAATAGACATGCTTAGAAGATCCACGAGACGTTCTGATGATGATCTGCACCGAGGCAAACCTGACGAAGCTGGATGGGGCGACTTACGGAGGTCTGAAGAACTGCTCCAGCACGACGTACATGCCGCGCAACAACTCAGCCATAAGGAAGTACTTTCCGGCCTTGTCGAGAGAAGACTCAGTGCCTTCGTCCCATTTCTTCGGAGGGGGCAGACGGAAGCCCGGTTGGGGGGGACCAGCTGGCGTAGCTGCCCGGTTCACCGAGGAAGAGAAGTTTGCGATGGATCCCAAGGGCGAAGAGCGGAGAGGGAAGGCTGTAGGACGAGAGTAGGCGACGAGCCTGGCGACGGACTTGGGGGCGGCCATCGCGGAAGTCGAAGAAGCGCGCGAAAGAGCGGGGATGACGAGGGGGGAGGTCAATTGACAGAGGGGGGGAACAGCAGCAATTCGAATCAGAAGCGGTTGGAGGTGGAAGTCGACGAAGTTCTGCTTGGGTCGCCGGCCTGCTTAGGTCATGGCTTTCTGCCGCCCCGTGATTGGCCCGCCGCCAGGATTTTGCTTCCTCCGAGCCGCAACAGAATCCAAACCCGTTCATCATCCATCGCTTCATTTCCCCCAATCTTTCCCCATTCCATCACTACCTTCTCCTCCTCATTCTCCCCCCCCCCGCCACTCCACCTCTTCTTCTTATACAGGCCTTTTTTAGCCTCCCTTTTCAGCTTCACCTTCCTGCCATCATGTTCCGCTCCGCTGTCGTCCGCTCCCTCAGGGCCTCCGTCCCTCGTGCCGTCAAGACTCCGGCTCCCTTCCAGATCCGTAGCTCTCCTGTCGCTCGTCCGGCCCAATTCGCCCCTCGCTTTGCCTACCAGGGTGTCAGACTCTACTCCGCTCCCGCCGGTCTCAACAAGGACGAGGTTGAGGGTCGGATAGTCAACCTTCTGAAGAACTTTGACAAGGTGCGTCCGGAATCGCGCGTTTTCAACTTCTCGCTCAAGGCGAGGAATTGCAAGCTATCAAGAAATATAAAACAAGCACAATGACTGACAGGCTGGAATTATTACAGGTCTCCGATGCTAGCAAGGTTAGTTTGGATACCCGATGACGCCCGATGTCATTGGCCGGGATTTTCCCGCGGGTAAAGAAACATAGCTTAACGGTCGCGATGTAACAGATCAACGGTGCCTCTCACTTCGCGAACGACCTCGGTCTGGACAGCTTGGATACCGTTGAGGTCGTCATGGCCATTGAGGAGGTATGGATATCGCATATGCCCTGGTTTATACTTGACGTTGTATACTGATAGGGATGTCTATAGGAATTCAGCATTGAGATCCCCGACAAGGAGGCCGACACCATCCACAGCGGTAAGTGCAGCTTTGGGATGAGATGCCCTTACAGGGTATTGCGACGCCGGAGAACATATACTGACCATCCCTTCTGCTATAGTTGACAAGGCTGTTGAGTACATCCTTGGTCAGCCCGATGGTAAGTTTAACATAACACACTTTGTTGTGCCAGTGAACATGACTTGTGGGGATTTGGTACTGACTACTCTGCTAGCTCACTAAATATGAACGTAATGCGAGGATTCGGAGTGGATTGGGGGATTTAGAATAGAAAGGAAAGGGACTTCTGGCGTGCATCTACATGGGACTTGCCATAGTGGAGGTACCCGGAGTCGGTCACGCTACTCTGTATGCTGATACATGCCTGTGCTCTTTCACTCTATTATATCGTGTATATCATCTTCAATGCAGTTTTGACTGATTTTGGCTGGTCTTTTTTCGTATGAAACATCTTCTCTTCTTTTTATTGAGGGTTGTTGAACAAGTAATTTCATTTGCTGGGAAACCAATGCTGAGGGAACTGATAGCGTCAAATTAAGCTTGGTATTGCACGCGGTGTTCAGGTCGGAACGAATCTGATATGCGGTTCCGTGGGATGACGTGGAGGCTACCGATTCGGGAGCAATCAACGAGAAATGTTAAGTGCAGGGCCCCAGCCAGCATAATAAAGGTGAGAAGGGCTGGGATTTCCTGCTGCAGCCTTGAAACCAATGTAAATGCGACTGAAGCAGAGAGAGAGAAAAATAAAATCAAATCAAATAAAACAAAAAATAAAACACGCAGGGGCCTGGAACCGAGTGGGCTGGGAATAGATAAGTAGAAGTAGAAAGTAGTAAGTAATAAGTAGTAGTAGTGACCATAAAAAGAATGGGGTCCGTCACCGAAGAAGCAACAACTAACTAACTGGAGACGCCCAGCCAAAGGAAGACCAAGCGCCAGATAGCCTTAGCGACCGCATCGACCGCAATCAATCTTTATATCTCCTCCATCCAACTTCCCTCCCCGGGTTTTATCTCCCTCCCACCACCGTTTTTTCTTGTCTTGAACTTTCACCGGGCTGAAATTGGGATTTCTTGTCGCTGCTCCGCTCAGTTACCCACTTCTCTGGCCGCCCGTCTCCTTCTTCCCCCATTGATTGTCGGCCTGCCTTTCCTCTTCGTCGTCGTCTTCCACCACAACATCCACCCCCCCTGACAATTTCCCGTCTAGCAAACTTTCCGGCGTCACTCTTCCATTCTAGCAACTCCAACCTCCGATCTTCCTAACCCCCCCCCCCCCAAGAAAATCACCCAGGCACCCGCCCAATAAGCAAACATCTGTCCATGTCGCAGACGATAACGGCATAGACTCCATCATTTGCGTGCTTATCGACACCACCCTGGTTCCCTTTATCCCTCCCTCCCCCCCCACTCCCGTCCTCCAGCCGCATTTAGATCCTCATGGCCTCAGCCGGGGGCTTGACTCGCCGGAGAGGTGGCGGTCGAGCCGCTGGCGCCGAAGACAACGACGACAGCAGAGTCTCTTCGCCCGTGTCGAGAAATGGTTCGTCGCTGGATAACCGCATCCCCGAGACCTCGTTCACCAGCTCCGAAAACGGTCACAAAATCGCCTTCGATCCTAGGGACATCAGTGAGACGGAGGAACGCAGCAAGCAGCCCAAGTTGACGCTGATGGAAGAGGTGCTTCTGTTGGGCTTGAAGGATAAGCAGGTGAGCCCCTAGCCTGGCTACGCGCATCTACACCCAGTGTTCAATGACTGACAGGCGCGTCCGGGATGGCTTGGTGTCGCTGTAGGGTTATCTGTCTTTTTGGAACGAGAACATCTCATACGCTCTCCGAGGATGCATCGTGATCGAGTTAGCGCTCCGTGGTCGGATCAGCATGCAGAAGGACACCTCTCGGCGACGTTTCCCTTTGGCCGATCGGGTGATTGAGGTGGTCGACGATACGCTAACTGGGGAGGTCTTGCTGGACGAGGCGCTGAAGATAATGAAGTCGAGTGAGAAGATGAGCGTGAACTCCTGGATCGATTTGTTGAGCGGTACGTTACGCAGGAGCATCTCCGATCATAATCCTTGTTGATTCTTCCACCATTGCTATTGAACGCATTGGCTGACGCGACGTGTCTTCCGGGCAGGTGAAACATGGAATCTGATGAAGATTGGCTACCAACTCAAGCAAGTGCGCGAACGCCTCGCCAAAGGTTTGGTAGACAAGGGTATCCTCCGCACCGAAAAGCGGAACTTCCTCCTCTTCGACATGGCTACGCATCCCGTCGCCGATGGAGGCGCCAAGGACGATCTCCACCGCCGGGTCCGCAACGTCTGCAGCAGCCGTACAGTGATCCTCCCGGCAAATGCATGGCTTCCTGAAGACGTCGAGTTCCGTTACCTACGAACCATCACCATGGTATGCGCGGCCTATGCGGCCAACGTGCTGGAGAACGCTCTGGTCACAATGAGTCACGAGGCCCGCGAAAGGGCATTCGCGCAGGTGGATGAGTTGCTTGCTGAATACTCTCAGTGGCCATTTGCCCGGAGAGCAGGAGGGTCGCAGGCCATTGGAGCCAATCTGGCACAGGCTATCAACGACGAGGTGAACAAATCTAAGGACCGAGAACTTCAGATGGAGGTACGTTTCTCCTCATCCATTGACTACTCTGCGCTCAGTGCTAATCCTCTTGCAGATTGTGGCAGCATGTTTGAGCGTTTTCACTAGACTCGACTCCCTACTGTAAGGGTATTATCATTCTTCGTCATCTGCTATAGTCCCCAACCTAGTTTGTCTTTTTATTTTCCTATTATTTCCCCTTATGCTATTGGTTTCTGAATCAACAAAACAACTACCCCGGGGGAGCTCTACTTGGCTTCTTCTTGAAGTAGTCACCGGTATACCGGTTGGAACTGGCAGAGTGGCGTTTATATGAAATCCGTCTTGCATTGTTTTGCACGGGATGTTCGATTCGATCTCCATTGATCTGTGTTTTCATCGTCTGCTTTTGTTCCACAGCTTTCTTTTCCACCCATCGACTCGCCCGCTCCCTCCCTCTATTTTCAAGGGGGTAAAGCGCGGCCATGCCATATGTATTTCTCAAAGCACACACTCCCCCAATTCCCACAGGAATTGTACGCACCTCTGGGAAGTTAAACCCCGTTCAGATGCATGCAGCCAGGACAGACAACCAGCACCGGGGGGCGCCATCCAGAACACTGAACCCGGTATGCCATGACAAGGACGCAACTGGTTTGTGCCTTTGTCATCAGACAACCAAAAAACTATCGAAAAGAAGAAGAAAAGAAAAAAACATAAAGAGAGATTAAGAATGAGTGCTACACATGGAGACAGAAACATCCAAAGAGGCCTTGCACGGACCTCTGCTTTTACTTTATTTACTATTCTATTTATGATTCTTTTATTTCCCTCTAAAAAATTTATTTTTATCTACTATTTTTCCCCCTTCCTTTTCTTTCTTCTTCTACCTAAAGTCATTATTCCAATTGTTTCCACTTCCTCTAATCATCCCCTAACACCCCCCTCTTTATTTTCTTTGCTTCCCTCAACATGTGTAGCAGAGGGGAGCTTAAAGTTTCCTGTCCGTTTCCCCTCCGTCTACTCCGTTCCATTCATGAATGTATCTACCATGTACACTGGGTGGCTTGTGCTGTCGAATTCGTCTTCCTTCTTATCAATCCTTCCTTTCTTTTTGTTTCCGTTCCCTTTCGATCATCACGTCGCACCAAAGTCTTGTCGTGAGTGAGGTTTCTTGTTTAATTTGTGCGGCACCTGACTCGGATTGAGCCTGTATGTGTTTCTACTCCCTTTTCTCTTTTCCGATTTCCTTTTCTTCTCTTCTTCTTTTCTGTCTGTTGATTGTGCTTCTAGCGCTTTACTCTTCCACCATGTCGTTAGTTACTTTCAAGGGTATGCTTCGCTTACCTGTAAGATTCAATAACAAGAAAAGAATTTTGGTATCAATCCGTCTCATGCGCCCGGGCTAGCGAGATACTTTGCCTTGGTCTGCCCTTCTCTGACGATGGTCTATAGATCTACTAGTCTAAACATTGATGAAATTAATCGCTAATGTAGCTGCCGAGTATGGTACATTCACGGAGCTGTCATGCTGCTTAGAAATACAAGATCACGAAGAAGATAGATATCAGACGCTTCATGCTAGTTAACCCGGATCACCATCATACCTCCCCGTCGCCCTCCGCCCGCTCCTGCCGCCCCCGAGGATAGCACGTCCATGCCGTCAACCAAGTCCTTGATGCTCTCGACCCTCCCTCGGACCTCGTCTGCCTCAACTAGCTCGGAAATCCGGCTCAAGGCCTCACCATTGGGGCTGACAAGAATGAAGCGACTAAGCACGCCATCCTTGCGGGGCTCATCGTCATCGAGAGGGTTTCTGGCTTCCGCCGGCGTCGAGTCTACCGCGGTCAGGACAGCACCATGCTCTTTGATGACCTTTGGAGAGTGTGCTTGCTCGAACATCTCCTGACCAGCGCAGTCCAGGACGACATCTACCGGTTTCCAGCGGTTCTTGCGAAAGATGGACCCGAGATCATAGTCCTGTGGTAGGGGAAGTGGCGCATAGATCGTCGCGTCCACGTCGTATTCTTTCCGCAGGTAATCCTCCTGGTCTTCAGCGTCACAGGTTGCGCAAATCCAGGGCCGCGAGTGCGGGAAGAGCTTATGCGATCGAAGCAATTGTAGTGCCTGAGTGGCAATTTCATTGTTGCGCGCGTTGGTAATGAGAACCCGTAGCTGCTGGCGACCCTGTCTAACGTCGGCGGTGTCAAGCCCGGCGTACTTGAATAACGCCTCCCAGGCCGTCAAGGCGGGCATGGGTATGGTAGCTGCCTCAGCAGCGCTGATGTTTTTGGGCTTGTACGCCAGCTCATCTTCAGATACGATGACGTAGTCGGCTGCTGCACCGTCGCGCGTGTGCTTGATCAGCCCAAAGACGGCGTCGTCAACCTTGAATTTGGGCCCGTCTGGGTTCCAGTGGTCTTTTTCAGGGGTACTAATGACTGTACCGCAAAAACTATGCAAAGGGATCTGCGGAATGGACTTGGATGGGTTCAAAATATTAGATAGCCGGAGCTCATCATGGGAAAAGGCGGCTGCCTGCACCTTGACGAGATAGTCGTTCCCTGAAGGAATGGGAGTTTGAAAGTCCGTGTCGAACTTCACATGGGAATCCGTCCTAGGCTCGTCCATAGGTGTGTGGTCTGTGACGGCTGTTGATGCCGGGCTGAAGTAAAGCGCCCTCATTGTTGGTGGCACGAACGTCTGTTCGTCCATCGTGGTTGACTGAGGCTTTGCAGGCTTCATGACGATTCGCTCGGTCCCTCTAATGCGTGATAGTGTCGCAGTCACCTTTCGTATTTAATAGAGTATTCAAGCTCAATTGACATGAACCGCTGCGACAGTGAGTGCCGCGAAGCTTCGTTATGCTTAGTGCCAGGTGGGACAAATTTTTTCAGTGGATAAGCCTTGACTTGTTGGAATATTCTGAGCTTCTTCCTGTAACTCGGGGAAAATAAAATGATCTGCTACCTTGGGCACAAGAGAGCTTAGTATAAATTCTGGTGTGGGCTGCAGCCTCCGTGGCTGCGGGTGAACATACTCTCATGTTGACGTAACCCAAGAGAGAACGGCTTATCTCAGCACCGTCAATAGATCGACTGATCAGGCGATAGTGAGCTCATCACCAAGTCTTTTGGCGGTGGCGGAAGTTTCTGTGCGTAGACCAGGCCTTGTTTTGGGGATTGTGCCTGTCGACTGCTTGACTTTAAGTTCAGCCACCAGATAATGCACTTCCGCCGGTTGTTCGAACACCCTCCACACGTGTTCTGGAATACCCGCAAACGCATTTTTGAACCTCTCTGGGGAGTTCTGTTCATCCAAGTGAGGCACGTCTGTGACCTTCCTGATCCAAATCGCTTGGATCCAGTGCGGATGCCTCTTATAAAGTTCTGCGTAGGCCTCGGGATCTTGCTGGGTGGAGTCTCCGATACAGAGCACTTGGCGCTTGGGAAACCATCCATGAATTTTCTCCCCACGGTCCACTTTGTACTCGTGTGTGTTAACGGTGAAGGACTTTACTAGCTCGCTGATATCCAACCAGGATGAATCTCGAAGAATCATCGTACCCGGACTGAAATATGAACCAAGGAATCCGTGCAAAAAAGGGTACAAATTATAAGGAGAAGCCGAGACATAGAACCATGCGGGTACAAGCTGGTTCTGGATATGGGCATAGAGCTGAGGCATTCCGGCAATAGGCTTGGGGTCTTCGACGAACGTGGTGCGAAGGATGCCAGTGGTCTCAGAAGTCTTGGTGTACTTGATTGTATCGTCGATGTCGGAGATGACAAGCCAACCTTCTGGACCAGCAAAGATGGTGTCCATGAAAACCTGGTTTCCCCAACCTCGAAGATATGATCGAATTCTAGTGCCATCTGTGATGTGCTTGCTGTTTGCGCTAATTGTCTGACTACTGATGCCACTCTCATCGGTGGGCCCGATCTTCTGCATCTGGATGGTGCTGTTCGACAAGGGAGTTTCGAGTGTCATCAAGTGGGCAGAGGCAGTATGAAACAGGAATGGCTGTAGTCGTTCTGTTATCCGATGGCGTGTCTCCTTGTCCGTTCCTATCTCTCCATCCAGTCCAATGAGGTCTGCAATCATGGCGACCAGCTTGGTGATATCCCTTCGGCTATTCTTGCGGAAAGCGCAGGCCACGACTTCTGCGTGCCATGATGCCTGTCTTGATGCTGTGGGCGCCGGTACCTGATAGGCAGTGTTATCAAACAACCATACGGTATGCTGACGAGCGTCTGCCGTTTGAATCGATGGTGGCTTTGAGATGAATGAAGTGACCATTTGGAGCATGCTTGACTCTCGCTTCCATGCATGTACTACCCGTACGACCTTGTGAAGGACAGTAGGGTCTTTGAGGTTTGTATCAGAAGACATTTTTGTGCGTATCTGCTCGTGTGAGCTTAAGTCCCTCACGATTGTATTGTGATAAGTTGAGTTGAATTGATAGCGATACTGAAAGATAGAATAGCGTTCTGCAGGTGAGTGAAGATTTAAGCCAGTTTATAGCCCTCTAAGATGTACAATATCGGGCGCCACGAGGCAGGCAGCCTCCTGATCCTGCAGGACTGCATCATATTGATCCCAAGCCGCAGGGCAGTGGCATCTATACGGGCTCAGGCAGCTTGGCCTGAGTCATTTCCTATTTTGAGGAGTCAGGGGAACAGGGCCATAAGGCTGTGTCCCTGTGGGGTATAGGATCGACCGAGATATGCAGACGGAGAGATACATGCATGAGAGGGCTCGCTGCCTGGCGCCCGCGTCAGCCTCGATTGACTTGTGACCTATGGGATATCGAGGCGCAGCAACTGACCAGCCCCCCGGGGCGCGGGTATGGGACAGTCATCTGCAGGGAGCGCAGGAACAGGGCGGGCAGATCCCTGAACGTACGTATTTAGACCGTTGCTGAGCGCGTTATTTGCTGCAGTGAGAATGCCGAGAGGTGCCTTGGGCTCAGTTTTGTAATGATATTATCGCGATGAATCATTTAAGCGGAGATGGATTTATGTTAGCATGAGGTTTGTGTTAGTTGCATGGTAGTTGGCCATCGGATATTCAGTCAGTCGGATCATCACGCGGCATTCTGAGTTGGTCATGGTGAAACTGTAATGGTAGCCTTATAGTTTTCTGTGACTGAGGCTTCTGACAGACGGGTTAAGAGAGAAGACGAAAAGGAAGAGGGAGAGGAGGAGGAGGAAAGTGAACAGAACCAAAGATGAATAGTAGATCAAGAGACTAAGAAGGAAAGAACGAACCACTCGATCGGTGGGGCTTCCCTATTAGGATACTGGGACCCTTCAGTATCTACCGGACAGTCACATGACAAGCCATCAAAAACAGAGTCGCGAGAACATTTCACATACTAGCTGAAAACACGGACCGTGTCAACCGGCTTTATTTCACATTTCGCCCAAACTCCTCGGACTTCATATCAGGCCGTTATATTTGTGCTTGTCTCAGATCACGTGGCTGTGTTACTTGAATTGCGTCTGCGGTGAAACATTTACTCCTACTCCCATCACATCGATATTACCCGCTTCAGCAACGAACACTCGTCTAAACGATCTGATTTACTATCGTGCAACACATCCTTACGTAACTAATGAAAGGGGAATTCATGTGCCGCAGCTGAGTGACGTATTGCTAGCTCATATACAAAGCCCAAGCGGGCTGTCTCAGAAATGGCCGGCGTTACTATCGACCGGCGAACCGGCCAGGCCTATAGGGAGATGGCCTTTCATCCTTCCAAGTACCCTAATGGACCCTTTTGGGTTCACGAGTCTCCGTTCTTGCCAGAAAGGTGGGAGGAGAGCAGCCGAGTCGGGGCGCCCTCATTACAGCATTCCGCCATGAAATGCCTGTTGTCTGACCAGAGGAGACTACGGCCTGAAATGTTTGCTTACGTACCCTGGCATATTGCTAGCTACCTCTGGGATTGCCTTGGCAAGAGGTAGGATGATCGAGAATATAAAAACGAATATGGCCTAACTTTTGCCGTAGCAAGAGAAGAACTCTACACAGTTGGAAGCTCTTTGCAATGGCCTACCCCGAGCAATTCCGAGAAGTCAGCCGTTACCGCTCCTATAGCGTCAAGAGCGTGGAGATGGGCATGCCCGAATACTGGAAGGAGGTGAATAGCAATGCCTTGAGTTGGCGGGCGGTGCTAAGTTTGGACCCATCAATCGCCAGGGTTCCTGATCTCGTGGAGATAGCTAGTATCCGAAACTTGGTAGCTTTGGAAATATCATCGCCACCGCAGACCTGGCATAACGGCGAGTCGTCCGGGGTCACGCTCAGCAATCGCATCATCCGGTCGTGGAACGAGTTGCAGCAGAGTTCTGGGGCATTTGCACATCTCC